TTTAATATGTACATAGTATAGTCATTGAAATTGGCCAGTTTAATGACTTTTTATGCGCAGTCATTAGTCATTGTCCATGAGAAATTTGAAATTCTCATTGTATTCAATTATAATATCATGGTATAGCATATAGTTTGTGTAAAAACCATTTTAATTGGCCAATGCGTGAATCATTTACTAAAGCCATCAGTCATCCGTTGTTTAATATAAATACAAATACATACGTATTTATAGCAAGTGGCATAGTTAGGCCATAATTAATTGTAATGAAGACCGCTTAAAGTATAATAGTTCCATTGTTCTATTATTGAGAAGGCATCTTAATCTTAACTTAAATATAGAAATATACTTAGTTTTACCATTTTGAGCTGCCAAGTTGAAATATATTTCAAGATTATTTAAAACTATCTCTAAGCTAAAATTGTGTTATTCACATTTAAAATTACTTAAAATTTATATAGTTAGTTAATTATATGCTCTTATATCTCAGGAGTTCCAAACTAACACATTGGACTCAAGGCGGTCTGTTTATACATTTCTGTAGATATCTAAAATGGGGGTCCCATATCTCGGGTTTTTTAAACCATCTAGCAAAATTCTCACGCTGTGCAGGTCTTTGTTATTTTTTTGCTCTGTTTCCTAGAAGCCATTAACACTTAATGCACTAGAATCACAGCGCCACATTTCCCGTAGCTAATACAACTGGGATGTGATTTTAACTCCTCCTACTTCCTCTGCTCAGATGTGCGAGGAACTGGGAGGAGCTTCTCTTCCATTGTGTTACACTTGTTGAGCTTGTCAGGGACTCAGCATCTAAATGAGCTGTCGACCGACTAACTGACTGACTGACTGACAACCAAGTTAAGCGCTTTATGCATGCCATACACACGGTACATACATAGATATATATATATATATATATATATTTATATATATATATATATATATGTTTATATGTATACATGTGTAGCTAGTCTTTTATGGTTCGCAACATCATTTGTTAGTTCATCTGTCTATCTGTCTGTCTGTCTCTCTGTTCTCGCTCTAGAAACGCCAACAGAGGCAGTTGTGACCCGGTTAGTGTCATAAATTAGCACAAGCCTCTGTCTGCAACAGCCAACTTGCAATATGTGTGTGTGTGTGTGTGTGCAATGTGCATTTATTAAATGCGAGTCTAAGTATCTCAACATACTTAGATACTCTCGCACGCACAGCAGCTCAACTCAATTCAATTCAGTTTAGTCTGGTAGCCAAAGCGGTTTTCATGTGTATACCCTGTAAAAAGGGGCAGTGGACGGTATTACACATGAGAAGTAAATATATTCCCACGCAATTACTTATTAATTTATTATAATTTATGTATTATCAGACACATTAGTACACGGATATGCTAGCTTTGAGAAGCTGAATAAGTTTATAGAGTAAACATATTTTAATTTATATACCCTGTAACATAAAAAGGGAATTTCCTATGACCTACATGCACTGAAATTATGATAAGAATACAGAGTATCCCGTGGTCAAAAATTGTTGAATTTTATTGGCTTAACTTTGACAAACTAAGGAGTAGCATATAAAAAGTGCAGCACCTATAAAAATGATCGAACTTTCGGCTAACAAATCAATGCAGGTTTCATCTAAATATCCTGTTAGAAGTTGATTTATGTCTTCATTTATATGTACCCTATAAGTACTGAATAGTAAAAATATACCCAAGCAGTAATCAGTTTGTCAAGTATGTTGCATTTTACAGGGTGTTTTGCAGTCAACTCTTTGAATTTGAGGCATTTTGAGTTGTCTCAATTGGGTCAGTCGTGAGAGATAAAAAACAAAAAAGTAAAAACCTGACTATTAAAAAGCCATCAACTATTGTTCAATATTAAGTTATTTCATAGCATTAATTAGTCTACAGAGGCTGCAGGCCGATTGATATCACAAACACACACACACACACAGACAGACAGACACACAGCCAGTGTACATGCGGCTTAATTGATTGGAGAAAGTGAGGTACATGATTTGGCTGACCGTTCGGCCCGGCCGTTTGGGTTCGTTTTTCGATTCGCTCTTTTGCCTGGGAAAATGTCTTCATCTTTGCAGCTAAAGCCCAACTGCAACTGCCAATTGCAACATCAACAAAGCAACAACAACAGCTAATCAAGCGAAACATTGCAAAGGCGAGAGATAAAATTCATTTGATATATATGCATGGAATAACCGTACAAAAAAGCCGATTACGACAATTGCAGCAGTACAAATTGTGAATTGAAAAAAAAAGAAACATTTGAGGAAACAAGAAACAGTTGGACGAGCATATTGATTTTCAGATTCACGTTCAATTGATATGTAATACATAAATTTATTTCTATAAATAAGTGAATTTATCTCAATAGTGAGTTGGAGAGTTGAGAATTGAAGTTCAATTTGATGAACAAAAATCAATCATATAATTGAGCAGCTCACCGACCGCTTGATAGCATTTAATATAACATATTTCTATTATTCAGTTACAGTTACGCCAGTTATTCCAATGCTTAAAGTTTTGTTTGGCCATACATATATGAGGGAATAAGTCACAATATCATAAATCATAAAATCACAATTTAAAGATTAATAAAAATCCACAAAAATCATACGAAGCTCTTGAGATAATTTGAAATAATTGCCTTCTGCAATACGATCGAATAAAATAGTTAATCATAATGATAATAAATATGATTCAATAACTATTTATACACAAATACCGTTACATCATAGAGTATAGTAGATGTTTATAAAGCAATAAATTAGCATGTATCAAAGATCACCTATTGTACAATATATCTTTCAAGATAAAACTCCATCCGTAATTCACTTATTCAATTATTCAATGGGGGCTATTTAAGTTCATTAAAGATCAGCGCTGAAAGGCCCTAAATGATATCCAAAACAATCAAACCGTACACTGTATAATGGACTGAATGTCAAAGATACCATTAATAATACTTAATCTAACGCATTTATTCATGATTTTATCCCATATCCCGTTTTTTTACAGCTACATTTGGCCGCATTGATCGCTGGCCATTTCTTATGTGTTTCTATTTTGTCTCTATATCTAGCTCGCTTTTTGTTTTGTGTTTTCGTCTTTTTATTTCCAATTTCCCAGCTCGTTTTGCCGTTTGTTTTTACCAAATTGTTTATTTCGTTTAACGATTTTGTATGTGCACATGTTGTTGTTGGTGTCCATTTTGTATTTCTTTATGTGCTGCATTTTCGGACCGTTAGCGTCAACGTTTTCGATAGTTTGTTGTTGCATTTGATAAACGAAGCCGGTATCCCCTAACCCACTCACTCACTGTTTCTCTTTCTCACACACCTTTGCAGCTGCTGTTGCTGTTGCTGTTGCTGCAGCAGCCTGGTGTCCAGTGCCAGGTACCGCACCCACCACCCCTCTTCAGCCCACTGTCAAACCTGTTTCCGTCTCGCTCTGCGATTTCGCCGCCGCTAGTCTATGCATGCCCATCTCTCTCACTCCTTCACTTTGGCGTGCGTCTCAGTCTCAATCGCAGACACCGAGTTTAGTACTCCCCGCCGCCGCTAGCTTAATTTATGAAAGTTTAAATGCATGCATTTGGTGTCGCCTGTAAATCAGAACTGCCGCTAGGTAGCGCTGCTAGCTGCTTGCTTATAAATATTTATCGTATCTGTTTATAGATGGGATATACTCTGAAATATATGTATGTTGGTGTGTGCGAGTGTGCTACATCCTTAAGTCTGAGCCACTGGCCTTATTCCGAATAAAGGAATTCCAGACACGGCTCACAGCATTTGCCCATAGAGAGTTTTGAAAGTAGAACACGGCTTGAGGTAATTGATAAATATATATATATATATATGTATCTGTATATTTATATATATTTGTAAATACGTGCGTGTTGTTAGAAAGTAAACGCCAACAGCCCCACATAACATACACTGTTACAAATTACGCAAACACAACGCACAAAATGTGTACTTAAAGTGAAATTTATGTGACAGTGCTATATATAAATATATATATAAATACATATAAATATATGTAAATATATATACATTATATATATATAAATATATATATATATTTAATGTATATAAATACATTAAAGTATTCAAAATTGAATACACTTGAAGTACTTACCTGTCTTTCGGATATAGTAAGCCATGTTTTTAAGTTCAAAACTTTTAAATACATATAATTATTGAATGATTTTCAATGGATGAAAGCAAACAGCTTTCTTCGCAAGAGTACAACATTATTTTTACCAGTGTAAAGCAGTCTGCAAAGCTTTTTCAGTAGCTGTTGATTTGAGAGTCATGCAAGTATTTTGTCGGGGTCTACCTCCGATGGTAGGCTTCCGTCATTATTTTGTTACAATAACCAATTTTACATATGTACATGTGTATTCATTTATTGTTGTATAACTATGTGTATGCGTAAGTGTGCATGCCCCTATAAATTTGCAAAGAGATTTCATTGAGTAATTGGAAATTTATGGCCGACGAGTCATGTGTGCAGGAAGCAGTGGACGGGGAACAGACTAGCCAAAGTCCTAAGAATTCTTTATTCGTACATAACTAATTTAATTAATTAGTAAAATTACGATAACTAAACAAATAGTTTATCAAAAAATGATTTTTTCGACTTAGACCAGCTTCATAGGTTTATTAAAGCATTTAAAGTTTATATATATATATATGAAAGAAATCTAGCTGGTAGTTAAGTAACTTAAAGGTATATTATAATAAAATTGTTCTGCAAATTAAATTTTTATTATTATAAAACTAGCTTCTTATATTGGAGTCACGATGATCATGAACTCCTACGTAAAGTTGAGATAAATAATTTATAAAAAACAAACTCATCAAAGGAAATTAGACTCTGTGATAACACCTATATGACTACATATATGTCAATTAAATGTCAATTTGTTGCTTTTATTTTGGTTATCGATTAATTGTGGCTCTTTAATGCATTGCAGATGACAAAATCCGTGTAGTCCGTTAGCAACAGCCATGTCAGAGAAGGTGAGCAGCGCCCTAGCTGCACAGCTGCATGCGCATTCGCTTGCGCTGGCCAACAGCTCCAGCTCCACCACCGAGCTGCAGCAACAGCAGCAGCAGCAGCCATTGGTTGGTTCCAGGGAGGCGCCACTGCTATTCGAGACAGATGCACCGGCAGCTGCGATTAGTGCCCAGCTGAATTTTAAGATTGTGCCCGTGGATAGCTTAATGGCGAGTGGCATGCATTTGGGACAGGCCAGCAGCCAGGAGATGTTCGGGCCAATGAACACTTCACAAATCTCAAATGCTTCCACAGAGTCCAGCTGCAGTCCACCGACAGCTGCGCCACCTAAGCCTAGCAGGCACATGGCCGTGCAGCCCTTAAACAGCGTAAGAGACAGCAACTAGCTATATAGAATCTATATAACATATCCTCTATTTGATTCACAGAAATCGTGTCGCTTTCCCAAGTTGGAGGAGTGCGCCCACTTTCATTACGAGCGTGTACAGCTGGGCGCCCTTTCGGTGCAGCTGCTGGACGACAAATCGGAGCAACAGCTGGGCAGCAGCATCGCCTCCCAGTCGATCGGTGGGGAGCTAGCACACAGCTCAATGCGCTCTGCTGCATTTACACCCGAGAGCTGTTGGTTCATCATACGTGTTTGTCCGCAAGGCTGTGAACCGTTCCTGATCAAACGTAGCTACGAGAATATGCAAATGCTCGACGAGATGCTGCATCGTTGCGTCTACGATCGCAAGATAAGCGGGCTGCGCAACATGTGCGAACTGGAAGCGGAGGAGGAGCTGCAATCGGAACTGGATGTCGAATATGTAGTGGCCAAATATTTGGAACGCTTCTCTAAAATCGCCTCCGATTCGCTGACCTGTGGCACCATACTTACCTGGCTGCAGCTGGACAACAAGGGTCGACGCTTGCCTCTCGCCGATGGCGAAACGCAGAGGACTATAAATACGCCCGCTGTGGGTGCGGCCTATGGGGTGCGTCGCTATCAGGCTCAGGCGCCCGATGAGATTAACATTGAGGTGGGGGACATGATATCCGTCATCGATATGCCCAGTCCGGCGGAATCGATTTGGTGGCGAGGCAAGAAGTCGCATTTGCAAAAGTCCCTCTACGAAGTGGGCTTCTTCCCGCAATCGTGCGTAGCCACTATTGGCGATAAGGTGCCAAGGAATTTCCCAATGCCTGCTCCATTGGTCGGCCATTTGGATGCCTCACCCACGAAGCCGGTGCTGCGGAAACATGGCAAACTGATTGCCTTCTTTCGTTCGTTCATCTTATCGCGACCATCGCGACGGCGTCTCAAGCAGAGCGGCATTTATAGAGAGCGTGTGTTCTCCTGCGATCTATCGGAACATCTGCTGAATAGTGGCCAGGACATTCCCATGGTCTTGAGGTCCTGTGCTGAATTCATTGAAAACTATGGCGTCATTGATGGCATCTATCGCCTCTCGGGCATCACATCGAATATTCAGCGTTTACGACGCGCTTTCGATGAGGAACGTGTCCCAGATCTGGGTAATCCGGAGATGAAGCAGGACATTCACGCGGTTAGCTCTCTTTTGAAAATGTATTTCCGTGAGCTACCCAATCCGCTGTGCACCTATCAGCTGTACGACAACTTTGTAGAGGCTATTCAGGTGAAGGCTGACGAAGCCAACGAACGACTGCGTCTGATGAAGGAAACGGTGCTAAAGCTTCCTCCTCCGCACTATCGGTAAGTGGCCAACTGTACTCAAAAATAGGATCTCGGAAAGTTTTCCTATCAGTCAAAAACTGTACAAGTCGAAGATCTTTAACAGCAATATTTATAATTTTCCAATCAACAGGACTTTGAAGTACTTGTCGGAGCACTTGCACAAGGTATCGCAGCATCACGAACGGACTGGAATGACGGATAAAAATCTGGCAATTGTTTGGGCGCCCAATTTGCTGCGCTCCCCGGCCCTCGAATCGGGGGGCGTTGCAGCACTGCGTGGCGTAGGCGTACAGGCTGTGGTCACCGAGTACCTGATACGCAACTGTCACAACATCTTCGATGCCCTCGAAGATCACAATGCCCGACTAAGCATAGTGGGTAACACAACAGCGGCGACAGCTGCAGCGACTGCGGCACCTAGCGAGCTACGTTTTGAGTCTCTGACGGATTGTGAGAGTTTGCTGGTGGAGCAGCGCGAACAAGATCAGTCGCTGGGTCTGATGGAGCGTCCCAAAAGCCTGAGTACTGGCGGCGCGAAGCTAATTAGTTTGGAGGAGGCGCAGGAGCGGCATTCGCGCATCGAATGCAGCTCGGATCTAAAGCAATCGCTGCCAATTAACATGATAATGAGCAACAGCACAGCAGCCGCTTCCAACATTGGGTCCTACATAGAAGTAGGCGGTGGTCCGTCCAGCCTGCCAGATAAATATCATACGGTATTGTCTGTGCCGCGCAGCTGGCAGAAGCGCAAGCCGGATAAGACGCCATCTTGGAAATCCATATTCACGCGCAGTCAGCGCCAGGGCAATGAGCCAGGCCACAAACTAATCAGCGATGGAGGGGCTAGCAGCAAAGATGCAAACGCCTCCACACGTGTCTGCTTTGTACAGGCATCCCATGCTCATGCCAGCAAGGAGTTATCCAAGCTCGACAAACCCAAGTCCATTGAGCTGCTAGAGACGACGCGCGATGCACGTCGTGACTCATCGCTCGGCATTATTGGTAAGCCAATGGAGCTGTGCATACGCTCCAATTCCATTGATAGCCTGCGTACAGTGGGTCATTCGCGCAGTGTTTCCCATGATTCTTACTTCGATCTATTGCAATCACCGCAACGTGGGCACATGACCACTTGCCCGTCGCGTGAACTTTCGGAGTTGGGTTTAAATTTTGATAGAGAAGAGCCTGAGATGCGGATATTTTCCGAAAGCGAATCGTTGGTTAGTTCACCGCGTGTGGGCAAGGAGAACGTGCCACCTGCAACAGGCTGTGCAACGCGTCGCATTATGCGCGCTCGCCCCGAAGAGTTCTCCAGTCAGACAAACAGCGTTAATCCCAGCCCCAAAAAGCAGCCACGTCTTAATCTGTTGTCTCCCAGTGCAGCCCGCACAGTGCCCCCTTCAGTAAATCTACAGCAGCAGCAAAATCAACAGCAGCAACAGCAACAGCCGGGCGGCTGTGGTCATGAACCCGCTGGTGCTGAGAACTGTTGCAAGCGCTATAAATTGGAAGATCAGCTCTCCGATATACAATTCATTGACTGCGGCACACCCGAGCATCCGCAGCCGCAATTCGCCAGCGTTGAGGTGCATCAGCCACCGCCACCGCCAAAGCCAGCGCGTGCCCAGCCGTTGCCCTCACCTACAGCTGCCTCTAATGCTGTTCGCTATAGCTATCCTTCAGTTCAGTTGGGTGCCAAGCGCAAGGAGCAGTTGGCGGCGAAGGAGCGTTTCAGCTATCAAGGCACCTTTACACAGCAGGGTGCAAAGCCGGAGACCACCACAACAAGCAGAGCTATGCAGTGAGTAGTTAACTTTTATAATATTAGTTTGTACCAGTTTCACATTATCTCTATTTTTTTTACAGCAATGGCAGCAAGCTGCCTGTGCCCACTCCCACTACGCCTTCCCATAGTCCACGGTACTCGCTGCTGTTGTGTGATACGGAAAGCTCGGAGAATAGCTCGGCCGTCAATACGCCACAGTATGATATGGAGCCGCTGATGGTGAACTCTGTAATGTCTGGCATATCGGGCGTTTCTTCCAACATGCAACAACAACAACAGCCGTTGCTGCTGGGAGTAGATGCTGTCAGCTATTTGGGCAGCTCGCACGAGAGCTTGGGTCAACAGCAGCAGCAGGTAAGTTATACGAGAATAGAGATAATAAATAAATATTCACTCCGTCTTCCATTACAGTTTCATACAGAGCAGCGCGATATGCATGCTTTGAAACGTGAATTATCGCTTGACTTGCAGCCGCTGCAACAGCCACGTCGAGGTGTTACATTGCCCGTCAAGGATCTACTACAGGCTGCCAGCTCGCCGAACAACTCGAATTTCACGGACAACACTAGTCAATCGGTGACGCCCAGCGAGTTTGGCTATCAGCACTTGCAGCGGCATTTGAGCATGCATTCGCTGCTGGCCACCGAAGAGAGCTCGCCACTCTACGAAGATTTTGAGCAGACACCCAGCAATGCGCTGTCGCCAGCAAAGCAACTACCGGTAGCTTCCATTAGTAGCCCTATCAAGTCGACAATTAGCATAACGTACAAGTCGCCAGAGAAGGAAAAGCCTCCAGCTAAGCCAGCGCAACTGCTGGAAACTAATTTCGATGAGAATATCGTGTATGAACAGGTCAAGTTGTTCAGAAATTCGGTGACGGAGGTAAATCAACTGCTGAATGAGCGGCACGGTCAGAGCCTAAAGCAAATTGAAGAGGAGGATGGCAGCGCACAAATGACGCAACAGCTGTTGCAGCTGCAAAAGGAACAGGAGGAGGACGAAGATGAGGAGCAACGTGCCCAGGAGCAGCTGCTGTATGAGAACATTGAGCTGCGCAAACCGAAAACAGTATATGAGAATATACGTGGCGAGCAAATGAAACTCAACATAGTAAACAACGACGCTCTGGAGCTTGAAACGGATTTAGATTTGAATTTGGAGTCAGTGGTGAAACATCAGCCCAATTGTGATCGCATTGAGCTGGACAGTTTGGATAGCTTGCCAAGTGTCGAACACAACACCATGGAACACGAAAAGCAAGAGCATATGGAGCAACTGCCACCCAGTAAATCGCCATCGTTCAGTGTGAAAGAGTTGGCAACTAAATTTGAGAGTTCGCCCGTTGACCAATTGCCCAATTTCGATTTCAGTCAACGGGCTGGCTCGATGAAGAAGCCCAACAATGAGCTCAGCCTACCGCCCGTTGTAGCACCTCCAAAGCCGTTGCTGATGCCAGTGCCGCTCAAGAATCGCAATGCTAATGCACAGAAGATAACACGTTCGCTGGACGAGAATGCCTTTGTGCGTGAATTTGGTGGCAAACAGCTGCAGGATCTGACCGCATGTAAGCAACAACAGCAACAGCAGCAACCGCAGGTGCCAATGTCAGAGTTAGACAATCGCCGTAAGAGCTTTGATTTCACGCGTCCCAAAACGTTGAATCCACCCAAGCGTTTGCCAGGAATGAGCATCACCGAAGAGATATGCCAGAAGCGCAACAATGAATCAGTTGATCAGCTGATCACCCCTACCACCGAAAATCGTATTTCGTTGATACAACAGAACAATGTGCCACTGAATCCGCCTGCGAGCAATGGACGTAAGAGCGTTTTAACTGGAGTGATCCTTGATCGCGAGCGCATCGATAAGATCAAGGAGGAGCGTCGCCAGCAGTTGACACAAAAGTATTATGGGGACACCATCAAGTCGCGTTCGAAAACGGAACTCAATTCGGCTGACGACAATTTCCAGGCATCTGATTCGCTGCGCGTCAAGTCGAAGTCACGCGGCGATATGCATTCGCTGCAGAAAGACATGGATATGAATCTTAAGCAGTTGGCTCGCGCTGGCGCTGGCTCCGAAAGCACATTGCATCAGCAGATCGACTATAGCACACAACATCGTGTGCGCAGCATCTCGGACGAGAAGAATCAGAATTGTGATACCAACACCAGCACCAATGGAGGCGGGGCCAATCAATCTAATCTGGTCAAGTCGGCTGCCCAGAAATATGTGCAAAACAATGCGCCAATCATCACAGCGATCACCACATCGACGATGCCTGGCAAGTTCGAGCGTGGCATCGGGAATCGCGAACGTTTCTCTAGGAGCTCCATGCCCCATCCAACAGCATCCACAGAGAGCAATGCGAGTGTCAAGTAAGTAGTTAACATTGATTATAGACTGTTGCCTGTTAATTGCTGAGCCATTATATTTAACAGCAAAGATTTTCATAGATGTTAGAAATAATTGATGATGTTTATAGATTTTGATATGATACCTATTAGCAGATTTAAAATAATAGCTGTTAAACATGTGCTAATATTTTATTATAGATCGCTTAACATATATAATAGGAGCTAATAAGAGAAGCAAATTTAAAACGTGGACATGTTTACATATGTAAAGATTTACGATAACATACAAATTTTTCATATAATAGTGCATGCACTCTTATATAACTAATGTCTAGTGTATTAAGTCTAAAACAAAATAATGTTAGTCTAGATTATGAATGTGGAACTGTCTTAGACCTAGTGAAGAAAATTAAATTATAGCAAAAATTATAATTACAGTTGATTGCACTATTAACTCATATCAAATATTCTTATACTTTCAGCAACAGAGAAAAGATCTCACCACAATTCTCAATACGCGATGTGACTGCGATGTTCGAATCTCGTTCACAAAATCAATAGACATGTAGGCAACATCGAAAACAGAATAATTATATATATTGGTAACAGAGAACAAAAGCAGAAGCTGAAGAAGTATAAAATGGAATAAAGAAGCGGTCGCGTTATATAGTTTATTTAGTTTGTAAAATTCTATATATTAATTGCATATTTGGAAATGCATTCTCTCTCAACTATTCGTATACATATATGTATATTGGATACTAGACCAAGCGGCACCAAAGACATGCAACACAAAAATCGCCGCTGGATATGATATATATATGTATATATATATATATATATATATATATATATAGAGCAGAGCAAAATTCAATTTTGTTTTTCTTTCAAGATAAATATGACTAAAAAAAGACCCAGATTCTAGGCGTTAAGTTTATCTATATATAGTATATAGAGCATATATATAATCGTTTATTTGTACACTTATTGCATTTCATTTGACTTGACTTTCTTCGGTTCGTTTGTTGTGTGATTTGTTTCATAAATGTTGGATTCAAAAAATTTCGAGAAAAAAAGAATATTAAAAATTTAAGTGTAAATTGAAAACGCAGTTTTTATTTTTAAAATTCAATTCAATTTTTGCATTTCGACGCAACTTTGAGCGAGTTGTTTTAAGTATATTATTATTATTATTATTATTATTATTATTATGACTATTTTTATTACTAGTATGCAATTAATTTATATAGATTTTTAACTAAATCACAAAGCCTAAAATAAATTACAAATTCAATTTTAATTATGAACTATTTTTATTTAAACCTAAACACTTGTAAATACTCTACGCTTGCTTTTACTAAATGCGGCTTACAAAATATATGACACAAAGAAAAACAAAATCGAATATACAAACTAAACTTTTGTTTAAGTGTACAAAATACTGGACTTAACAAATCTGTCAAAAATAAAATACAAAAGATATGCTAATGAATTCCAACTGAAAATCATGTTTACCATTCTCTTTCAATGCTTTTGTAAAGATATATACATAGTATAGATCTGTGTAGAACCTGGTAGCATAACACTATGCAAACATAATGGTTGTTTATAGGCTAATTATGGTTACAGTTCGCTAAGAGGAGAACAATAGTATAAAGAAATTTTAGGAATCATTTTTTTGAGCTATTCATTACCAAAAATTAAATAAAAAAACAGTTTTTGAATTCCGAATATCGCTAATGACAAATTTGTTAAGTCCCGCTTCAAGGCACGCGAATATACATATATGTTATATATTACAAAGCTGTCCTATATATACATATATATATGTTTATATATTGATAAAGACCAATAAAACCTAAATCAAAAAAGAGCAGTACTAAAAGCTAACTTATTTAATTGATATACGTTCTGTAATCGCTCTCCTTAAATATTCAAATTTTATCTCCTAGTGAAATTTCAGCTATATAAAGATTTTATTAAAGAGTGCGAAAATCATTTCTTTAGTCTCGAGCCAGCTGCCAAATTTTTTACAAAAAAATTTAAATATTGAAAATTTATAAACTTGAAAAAAGAAGCAGAAAACGAATTGTAATACAAACAATAACTAAATAGAAAGCTTTAAAAAATAAAACAAATAAGTTAGCATTTGATATATTTTGATAAATGAAAATAATAATAAATAAAAATAATAAATCCAGAACTTAGCTATAATCAATTGTATTGTATAATGACTGACAGCTAAAGCGGAGAAACAGTTGCGAAATGAATTACATTACATATATATACGCATTACTATATACAAATACATAAATACACACATAAATATATTTATTATAATGTATTTGATTAACAATCAATCAACTTAGCTGCAGGCTAAATCTGAAGCAGAAACATTTTTCTAAAGCGGCAAAACACAAGAAACAATAACAATAAACAAATCATGTAATGCATATATTTAAACAAATATATATATATATTTTTATTCATGGCAAATTGTGGGTAGCTTAAAAGTGTAGAGTATGTCTTACCTTAGTATCTTAGCTACGACTGTGTTGAAGACGACACAATGCACTCAATATCGCATGACAATATATTTAATTCAATACTTAGAGTGAACCACTTAATATATATTCACATTTTTGGCGGATTTTTATAGTAAATAATTTTAGAAACTGCGCGTGCTACTCAGTGTGCTTGGAAATGTCTGAGCTTCGCCTCAGCTATTGATATTAACATCAAACTTCTTAAACTGATTTCTGTAGGCTTTTCGTGTACAGCAAAATAATACTTACTACCTGCTAATGCCAAGAATTCATATCAATCAACCCAGTCCCCCCTTTCCTCTTGAATGGAAATATGTGCATTCCAATTAATATTATTTTAAAATCATTACAAAAACAATAAAAGAGACGTTTCGGGAGCCCTGCGGTTCACACAGCTCCTCACATCCCACTATGTATACTCAATTGGCCCGGCAACCTAAGCTGCTAGGCACTACTAAAAATTCTTTTTAGACTCATTTGAGTGCTCCTCTCCACGGAAATCTTTAGTAAAAGGCGAAAGATTTATTCGACAACTGAAGAGAAGCCAGAGTGAATATCCCAGGCCAAACATGCTGACTCTACCTCTTCTCTAAGTTAACTAATTGAGAATTATAGGGAATATGTTTTACCTGGTCAACCCCTAAAGTATACTATACCTAAGTCTTCTTAGGTAGGCAAAAGGTGTTCAAATTAAATTCGTTTATAATTCTCAACTGGTTTTAGTTGTAACCCAATGGAGTAGACAATATTTACCACTGTTGAGTTATCGCTTCTCGGCCTTATGGCTAAGATCAAAGTGTAGTATCTGTTCTTATCAGCTTAACATCTGATAGTTCCTCCATTGGAGGACAACAAATGTTAAACTGATTTTTGGAATCAGACGGAGTGCTAGGGGCTTGCTCCACCTCTGTCACGGGTTGGCCCGGTATTGCAGTACCGCCGGGATTTCGGCCCACTTAAATAATAAATATTATTATATATAATGTATTTGCTTGTTGAAGCGAGTTGTTATTCATATTCAACAGTTATAAGATCTGTCGGACATTTTAAGTCTTACTTGTTGGTTGTTGGAGGCTTTGTTTAAAGCCGTTAGAATGACTGTGACTCTGTTTGCCAAGACGCTAGAGTTCGGTTCCAGCCAAAATGTTAGCAGTGTTTAAAGTTCTAAGGGACACTTATTCAGAAATGTCAACCTAGAACGAAAAGTAGCTGTATGCATATTGATTTCCCAATGCCTTGTAATTATATAGAGGTGTCCTCGATGAGCATATCTGGACTAAAGAATGAGTTCAACGGCAAGCGACTCGTCAAGAACCAACATCGATAGCTTACGAATTAATATTTGGTGTATGAAGTTGCGATATAGAAAGCAAGAATATTCTGATTTCAGATTTTTTAAGCCAATTCTGTTCCGTTTAGCTTCGAAAGCATCCTAAATTTTCAGACTGCTTGCACTAGAAGCTGACTGACAGATTTGATGGAAATTTAAGTAAATTTGTCTAAATATCTCGCAAGCAAGTGTGGCATTAAGGCAGTATGTCCGAAATGCCCTTCAACTAAGTCATAAAGCTGTGCTAATAATATGCAGAGGCTTTGTTCTTGTCCTTGTTCATAAAGGGGTTTTGTGCGCTCTGTTATTTTTTGATTAACTGGTCTGCCTGCTGTGCTGTGCGTGGGGCGGGAGGCGATGGAGATGGGATAAAAGGACATCACGTGAGAAAACTAATTTGATTAAATTGCCACAGAAACGCACAGCGTGAGACGCGCCGCTTTCAATGACAACACAAGAGGCACAGAGGCGAGCTCTTATCGCCTCAGAAGCATCTACCAGACAAAGGCAGCTCTCTATAAAGCAATATAGCCATATAGCTGGCTACTTAGGACATGAACAACCACCCGGAACAGGTAGCACAACATATGTATATAAGCACTACTATATAATATTTATGTATATATATATATATATATGCGGGTTGTTTTGAATGCACTAAGCGCTGTGCATAAGTGTGAAAACGTTTGCATCCTGCAGAGAGCCTTGTCCTGCCTCTAACCCGGCACTCAATGTTTGGGTTGATTGACGCTGATAGGGCACGTGTTGGCAATTATTTGAGAATAAACATGAAAAGCTTCTGCTGGCCAAATCAGATGACTTCTTGTTGAGCACGCCAAACAGGCTGTCAGTTAAGCAGCCAGGCAGCCAGGCAGACAAACAGAAATTCAAGTCCAACAAATGCAAGTAGGAATGCGAGTCTGATCATTAACATTTTAGAATAAACGATTATTTAATGTTGTTACTAAGATCAAGAGTTTTCCGTATTCTTGTTTACAAACTGCAAACTATGGAAATGTTTCTTAAAAATGCATAAATCAAGGTTTCATTCTGATAGCAACTAAAATTCATTTTCGTTCGAAGAATTAATTTATTTTTTTTTTTGTAAGATATTTTATTCTGATCTTATACTATCAGTTCTGAAATAATTTTCATTCAATGATATATAAAATGAATACAAAGATCCAGTTAGAAGAATTATTATTAATTTTCATTGATTTCTTATATTTTTATGGAGCTCGAATGTAGAGTCGATCCGAATCATATTATGAAGATTTTGATAAGCTCTGTGTATGAAGAGTATATTGGTTTTGTGATATTGGGGCTCAATATGCATAGCTTAAATTTTTAAAAAAATTCAGTTGTTTAACTTCAACTCGTGCATGTTTTTATGTGTATTCAAAAATTAATTGATAAGGATGCAATAATCTTTAAAATTTAGTTTCGTTATCATGCAAACAATTTTTGTGACCAATTTCATATAAAATATGTATATCATTTGCAAAAAGGTCAACTGGCTATGGATTTCTCAGCTGTAATTTGTGTGTCAGTGTTACACTTAACTAGGAAATATAGCAAAAGAATCGCATTGGTTACGCCTACTTTACTTCTGTTCGCAAACCCGTTCAATTTAACAATAGGAAACATTTTTGGTAAATCAAATTTTACTACAATTACGCGCTGCAAATTAAATCATGGCATCAAATAGCTGCAAATCAAACAAATGTATCAAAATAACAATATATGTATATATATAAATATAGATGCATATATATGTGTGTTCCGGCTGATGATAAAATCATTTAGAAAATGCCAGCAAATTACAAACTGCCCCGCCCTCGGAGGGTGTTCTGCGCCTCAGCCTGGACCCAGCCAGTGTGCACATATTTCTATGTAATTTAATATGTGGCACGCGTCTGGTAAACTTTATTTTTTTTTCTGGCAGGACGAGCAGGATATGCTCGGCTCTGCGGCTCAATTGTTGCCAATGAGAGCAATTGTGTTGCTGTCGAGAGAGGGCCAGGCAGACGAGTAGTGATGAAGGGCGAGAGGGAGGAAGAGGGAAGGGAGGTAGGGCAAGGGCGCTGTAAGAGGTAATTGCATTTGTTAGCGCTCTAATTGTTTGGGCGGGCGAAAGGTTACTCTGTGCCTAGGATAACAACAAGAGGCTTTTAATAAGCATAACCCCATTGGCAGGCCAAGTCCTGACACTGAAAAGTGGCTCGGAACGTGGACAAAACTTTTGCAAATGTGGGCGTGCAAATTGACCCACCCGAATCCCCGGCTCAGCGAGAGCCTACAATTAGGAATATGCGAAATTAATGGGCGTGATCCAGCCTCCTTGTATAATGTAATTAAACATATTCTTCATCAAATGAATTGGCCTTAAATTAGACTATAATATCAGAAGTAAATCTATGTGAACTAAGCGACTTCTAAATGAAATATAAAAATATTCCGAATTTTTCTATCTTTTATGCTTTGGTGATATATTATGTCTGAAGAACAGAAACCTCTTTTTTTTGGTATTCCACATGATAAAGTATATCTTATCTTTGCAAAAATATTTCATACTATTAATTTATATGCGCCTTATCGAGGCATGTTTTTCTGTTCAACTCTTTTCTTTCGTCTGAATGAAAGCTTTGATATTAAAGGCAGTCGCACTGAAGGCTCACAATCGGTGACTCTTTCACATTTTCGTAAACATTTAGTTATGCTCTGTATCGAGTCCAAAGCTAGAATACTTATCGCGAAAGTAATCAGAAAAAGCATTTTCTGATTACTAAATAACGACCATAATTGTTATTGATAACCAGATAACAGTGCAAATAGAATGGGGGTAATATATACATATATATATATATTTATATACAATACAAATATGAAAGTGTTATTTAATTTAGTTTTAGAACATGTAGGAAGTACCTAAAACCGATATATAGCTAAACTTATCCATCTAAACTAAATATATATTTCGACTGAAATAAAGTTCAATAAAAGAAGAGACAGAAGAACACTTTGCTTTGGATATAGTGGAACATATTATGTTAGTAGATCGATGAATATCTAAGCACCCCAGCTCAATATTTGAAGACTCTTCCATATAGCCTGTTTGCTATATGGAGCAACTGCAGTCTTTGATCTTAAAGGATGTTGGCACTTGAGGCGCGACCCTCTTTGTGCCACAGGCATAAACAAAGTACCCCCAGCTGAGTGAACTAAATCGTAAGGTTTACGTTGCTCGTTTCAGAAGTTAATTTACCGAGAATCAAAACTCAAATGCGGATGCAGCAATCGAGCAGCATCTGAGAAAGGCCGCCGTCCGTAACCTGATCTTTGACACACTTCAACCTTGATTTCAGGGAATTATGCTAAAAAAAACACAATGAGAAGACGACGCCTCACAAAAGGATTTGCCATGCAAACTGACACAAAATGTTGTAATTGCCAGTAGACAGAGCATAGCCCTCTCTCCCTCTGTCCTTCTCTCCCTTAACCGCAAGAAGCGTTTGCAATTCGATGCCAGATTTTTATTATTATAAAAATTAGGCTTAGCACGTCTGATGGGCACGTGCAGCTCCCGTAGATTCAAATGAAGCTAAGCTAAATGTTCCCAAGCCTCCATTCCACTAATAACGATAGGAGAGTTCTCTCTATATCTACCTCTCTCACTCTCTCTAGTTGTATATATTTTACACATGCTGCAAGCTCTTTCGCACGTTCATGTCAAATGAGTCATAAACAAAAAGCATAAAAGAAAACAATGGCACCGACCCGCTGAAGTTGTCAGTTCCGGGGCGCAGTTTAAGTGCTCGCAACAAGCAGCTTGTGTCAGTTACTAAGGACCTCGGCAGTAGACAGCTTATGGCCACGCCCCAGCCCCATTTGCAGTCCCAGCCAGAGTTACCTATACCTCAGAAATAATGCCAGAGATTTCAGCCAAAGCGACTTAATTGCATGTCGCATTACACTGCAAGAAATTGAACGCGTTTTTTAAAAAATTCTTCAATATTAAATTCTGAGACATTCATTTGTTAATAATTAATTTGATTTTAATGGAAACTTTAAGAGTTTGATAAATAATATACGCATTAATATTGTTGGACTTTATATTTATTTATTTATTTATTTACATCATTCAAGGATCTTCTAAGGATATTCTAAGCTTTTATATTGTTATACTTGCAAATTCATTTTTAAGCATCATTAAATCATATTCATTTATGTAAGATGCAAACTAAGCCTCAAGAAGCTCTGGTAGCTCTGATATATTTGACTTTAATATTTTTTATTCGCATTGTTTTATCAGTGACCTCTTTGATGTCAGTGTAGTTGTCTGCGCACACCATACTCCAACACATTAAAATGAGTGCGTATGCGTGTGTATGAGTGAACATCTAATGCGCCCGCTTTAGGGCTTTAACCTAATAATGATGTTCGACTTACTTTGCGTGACTTATTTTATTAATAAAACGAGCAAATTTGTCTTGCTTTTTGGTCGCAGCCATCGCGCAAGTACACACACACACACACACATTGAGTGTACCCACACAAGCACATACATACACGCACACCGACGGTATCCTTTGCTAGCTCGCGGTCCCCTTTCTCCACATACTGAAGTCTTAGCTAGCTAGCTTTCCATTGCCATTTGCTCGCTGTGCACGCGACAAGGACAAATAGCTACTTGCTGTGGCAACCCCAAAGCTCGAAGCGCTCTGATTGGCTGCGGCAGAATAGCAGGACACACCCCCTGCGAGCTGGCCGGCTGATGGGCTGCCTGTCATGGGCCCAGTTGGGCTGCGTAAAGCTATGAAAAACGATTGAATTACGGCCAAGTTTTTTTCCTTTACGACTTTTGGCTTAATTGCCAGAGCTTAGAGACTGTTGTAAGGAGAGTAGGACAGTAAGCGAGAGGGAGAGAGGTAGCTATATCTGACAGCTCAGGCTAATGCGTATTATGGGTACATTAGACAGATACAAGTGGAAGGTGGTGGTACAGTTGTGCACGCATGCAAACAGCTGTGGTCCACATTACGCATACGCCCCGTTGCCAGACGAAAACTCTGCCTGTCCGCCCGACCGTCTGTCTATCTCTCTATCTGTCTGTCTTTCTGTCTGCCTAGGCAGCCATCAGTCAATAATTTAATTATAATAATTGTGGCATTTAATGTATTTAATGCATGCACAACACAATGGCGGCCATGACACGTTAATTATGGGGGCAAAATGGCGGCTACAGCCGCAGTCGCTGCCAGCGTCAACGCCGACCGCAACTGCGATCGAGTTATTTGCGGTTAACATGAACCAATTAAACTTAGCAACTGCATAAGCACACGGCAAAAAAAAATAAAAATTAATATACATTTAAGTTTCATTATAATGCAAGAATTAAGAAATATTAATTTTCTTATATTTTGTTTACATTTAAAATAATCTCATTCTTTATATGATATATATGATAGTTATATGATAGTTATGATAAAATAAATGATAAAATAATAAAATAAATCGATTTATGTTTTTTTTTTGTAAAAAGGTTTCTTGATTTTAATCAATCGAAATTGCATTAACATTGACTAAAATTTATTAATAATATAATATAATATAAATGATATAAATAATATTTTATTCGAAACGCTTTTTAAGTGAAAATTGCATGTATAACTACAACATATAATAATAAATAAACAATTATTTTTAATTGAAATTCTAAAATGTTAAATAGAGTCTTAAAAAGTTAGTTGAAAAGAATGAAAAGTTGTTCAATGAAATTTCAATTAGCTCACTATATATATTATAACTTGTACGTAGACGTGTATATCTTGACTTTTATATTAATTACTGTTAAGTTTACAAATTCGAAAATTAACAAATGGCGTAAAGAAATGCAGACCAAGCCATCATTTTTGGCTGTGCACAGTCGAAGGCCAACAAATCAGAATACTAAATAAATATATATATAAATATATATATATTCATATATATATTATATATATATGTATATGCCTATACATATATAGTTGTATAGATAAAATGCCAGCATTATGGGGCCGAAATCAAACGGTGCAAATGGCTAAATTGCATTCGGCCGTAATGCCCTTGTTGTGCGAGGGAGACAACCATATATGCTACACATGCAAATGGGGGTGTGTTCACACATACAGAGAAACGTACATACATGGATGGACGATATATATATATATATATATATAGGTGTGTGTGTGTTTTTGGGTGCCTGAGCAGCGAACCGCAAGTGCATTGCCTGCTTTTGGGGGTGGGCTGCTGTGCCGTGGCTCAAACCGGGACATCGCTTAGAGCGATTTGCTGGTTGATGTGCGGTGATTGCCGCAAACTCAACGCGACCGTCAACGAGCAAACAACATAAGCGCGACGGCCAGGACTCGAGCAGGAGCAGGACATGATGTCAGCGCTTAATGAGAACAGCCTCAGCCCAGTTGCAACTGCAACGGCGACGGCAACAGCAACTGCAGCAGCAACTGTAGCCAGCAGCAAGTGCTCTGCCACAACGGCCACAATGCTAACCACAAAAACGCCATTTTCCATCGAACACATATTATTTCAAAACTTAAACAATAATAATAATAACAACAACAACAACAACTCCAACAGCAATAGCAATCAAAAGTGCAACAAATATTCAGTGAAAAGTGCCAGGAGCAATACGAGCGCCAGCTCCATATCCGCCATATCAAATACCCTTTCGAGTGGCAGTGGCAGTGCCAACGCCAATTCAAGTGCATATGACAATAACAGATATCCTATAAACCCAACAGCGCCGGCCTCGACACGCCACACAAACAGTCCGCACCATTCGGCAGCGATTTATGCCAGCGAGGATTACGTCAAGTCCATGCACAGCCAACGGTGAGTGTGTATGAGTCTATAAGATATATGAACGGATTTCTGTTGACCGAAGTGCAAAACCTACATTAGCTGTGTCCGCTCAACGAGCCAATTCTGTCTCTGTTCGATAAGCCCACAAGACACGCGAAAAGGCTGTACAGAAACGTTTAGCTGTGATCTGAGCTTAACTTAGCTTTGTTCATAATGTGCATAATATATAAAATATATTTTTTATAAATATCTGAACATTAAATTTTTCAGACAGCGAGTTTCACAGAACAGTTAATTAACCGTTCTTAAATTTATTCTTTTAAATTCGAGTTATTCTACATAAATCTGAGAGGCAATCAGCGTTAAACTCCTTCAGCTGCGTGGATTAGTTATTTATAAAAAAATATATATTTATATATTTATATAAATATAATATATTTATATTAAATTATTCAATGCCGCGTTATTAGAATTATCAGTGCAATATCTTCCCATATTGCAGCAAAAATGATTTAAATTAAAAAAACTCTTAACTGACATTTCAGATTTGAAAGTTTAAATCTTTTATTTGCATGCAATATTCATACACGGGCGGAGATAAAAATATAACAATAATAATTAATAATTTCAAATTAATTTTAATTAAAGTTAAAACTAAATAATAATTTAAAATAGGCATTGAATGACAATATTAAATATAGATGAAGCTCTGGTATCAGAAATGTTTTTCTGATTGGAGTTGAAACCAAATTTAAAAAAGAAATTTAAACTCTGAAATGAAAATGAAATATGTTTGACTAGGGCTGCATGGGTATATGACGAGCTCTTCATCTTTAATGATGAACGGAACTAAATCGGAGCTAGGTTAAATTTTTACTAAACTATTTAGCAACTGTACAAAAGAGTAATATATATATTCATACATACACATTATGTCTACAAAAATCTCCTTTGTAAAAATATTGAAAATAAATAATGTAGATATCAAAGTTAACGAAGAAAGCTTGAGTGCACATTTGACTTGAATGTTTCTTTATGCAGTATTGAGTGAGTGCTGTGCTGTATAGTTTAAGGTATATATATTTGATCAGCTTAACGTTATATACGTTATATCGAATACACTATATGCATATATGTAATTGAGTTCAGGTAAATTCAGATGTTTAGCTTAACTTGATTCAAAGATCATTGTGTGGGATTCTTAATCCCGCATATTCAAATATTTCAACACAATCAGAGAAGCTTATGAGTCGGACGTTGAAGTAGTATACGCTATCAAGATTATATAACTCATTCGGATGCTGTTAACTTCCAATTCCCTACAGCAGCGCGCACCAACGGTCAGCAGCCGCTCACTATACCCATTCGAATTCGGGGCCAACTGTAGAGCCAAGTGTACAGCAAATGACAGCGGCAGCAGCAGCAGCAGCGGCAGCGGCAGCTGCAGCACCGCCAGCGCCACCTCCGCCACCGCCAGCAGCAACTGCCCCGAATGGTGTGCTGTACCCGAATGCTGGGTATGGCGATCATGGTTTCTTACAGATGACCCTCGGCTATCTATCCCCGTCGTCGGGCACGTACAAGTCGGTGGATCCCTATTTTCTGTCCCAAGGTATGCTCCTGTTCCTCTGCGTGTCAATGGCCATTAGCGACACCCAAATGTCCCAAAAGTTGACTCTATGTCAGCGTGTAATTCAATTAATGTGTGGCACCCACTTTTTGCAGCCAGCCTGTTTGGAGGAGCGCCCTTCTTTGGTGCGCCCGGCTGTGTGCCGGAGCTGGCCCTCGGCTTGGGCATGGGTGTGAATGCTCTGAGGCATTGTCGACGTCGTAAGGCGCGCACCGTCTTCAGTGACCCGCAGCTTTCGGGGCTGGAGAAACGTTTTGAGGCGCAACGATATTTGTCGACGCCAGAACGCGTAGAACTGGCCACGGCGCTGGGCTTAAGCGAGACGCAGGTCAAGACCTGGTTCCAGAATCGTCGTATGAAGCACAAGAAGCAGCTGCGACGACGCGACACTGCCAATGGTGAGTGAAGTAGCTGGAGTCGAAGTCTTTTAGTCTTCGGACCAACTTTTAACTTTGTAGAAGTTTCTTTGGCCAATTAGCTTGGAGCTCCTTTTGATGAAACTTTTGCTCAAGTTTTATTTGGCCCCTAATCAAATTAGTTGTAAATTTTTGGCAATTTTCTGGCCCACAGAACCCGTTGACTTCTCACGCACCGAGCCAGGCAGCAAGCAGCAGGGCGAGCCCCACAGCCCCACAGCTGTCTCCACAGATTCCAAGTCCAAGTTGGGCCAAACAACTAGTCAACAGCAGCACCAACAGCAACTGCAAATGTGCTTCCTGCAGCATGGCTACTCAACGGATGATTATTCCGATCTGGAGGCTGACAGCGAGGATGATGATAATTCTAGCGATGTGGACATTGTGGGCGATACGAAGCTATATCAGCTTACATAGGACGTAGGTGTGTAAAAAGTTGTCCATTAATAGACTTAATATGTGCAAAAAATACCACAATATTCAAAAATACCAATGCGATGGCTTTTAAGATAAGAAACCGTATGTAATTCCTTATGAAGATTCGACAAATCTGTTTTGTTTTTGTATTTTCTTAGTACATTTTGAGATGAGTGTTTAAGTTTCAGTTTTTTTGTTGTTTTTAAAATTAAAAAATAATAAAAATGTTACTAATTTCTGAAAACAAAAAATTATTGAAAGAAATCATAAACTACATTATTTTTAATTAATAACAGATTTTAATTATATCAAAGATTTACTTACTTTTCATAACTTACTGTTTAGTACCTTCACTTGATATATATTAAGAAATGTATTTATTGGTATTTTTTAATATAATGTTAAATATTCAAGTCAAAGATAAATTGCTTATATATAAGATTTTATCAAATTATGAACTAAAAATTGTGATTTTCATTTGATATATTTAGAAACAAACGGTAATTAATTATTTGCGTTAATTTCTCTTGTTTTTTTTTGGTATTTTTTGCGCATTAAGCATACCACATCGAGTCTATACAACTCCGAAGTAATCAAACTCTGTAAATAGTGATCACAATAAGATTTCCAATTGAGCGCGAGTCTAGTCACAGATAAATTTAAGCTGATACACATATACATTGAAGTATTACAAAACAAATAGTGATTTTATTCGAGTACTTCCATTTAAGATCTCTTTCTCTTTCATACACCCTGTCTCTCTCGCTTTCTCTCTCTGTCCCCTTCAGTCTTTCTCGGAGTATCTAATTCTCTTTGTAGCTGTATATTGATGTGTTAGACGGCTTAGTTTTAATGCTTTCAATAAAAACTCATGTGAAAAATTAAAAAAAAAAAGTTTTTCAAGTTCCGACGGGTAATCAAATCCAATTGACTGCCAACAACAAAAAGTAGGCACTAATCAGGTTAAACTGTGACATTTTTATAGGGTTGAAGTCACGGACACGCCCACCGACTACCGCCCACTCACGCTTGGGTGTGTTAGCCGAGGGTGGAATATGCTGAAGTGCTCTTAACAATGGCAAAATAATTGCGGGTTATTAGCAAGCCATTTAGGGAAACACTTTGTTGCGACTCGGCAGCTCAAACAGTGAAATACTTCTTGAATACTTCCAATTGAGTTCTGATTGTGTGAGCAAAAGAACCAGTTTCCGGACTCAGCAGCCCCCCATATGCTTGGCGTTAAGGTAAGTACATCTCAATAGCATGTCATCCGTCTAGGATTCGGTGGGTTTGTCAGCGAAAGCTTTTTCTTCTATGAACTTATTTATATACATTATATTTAGAGTATTCACATTCTATATTTAAAGTTTTCTAAAGTGACCAAAAATATATACAAATGAGCATTTATAATTTACGTATATATATATAACATGTAATAAATAAATAAGAAAGCTCTAGTTAGAGTACCTGATTAGAAGATAGAAGATTTTAGAAATATTTTTTATAGCTTACCTAGCATAAAATCGCAATTTCGATTCTGCGATTTTAATGCATGTGCCCAAGTATATAGGTAAATAAGTAAGAAAGCTCTAGTCGGGTTGCCCGCCTAGGAGATATCCTGATCCCAGTCTTATCTGCGTTTTTTTAATATTTTCCGTAGTTTGTATAGAGTATTAAAAAAAAAACAAATAAAAACTGCCATTACGACACCAAACTTCGAACCCAAAGTGTTTACGCAACGTGCATCAACTCTACCAACACCGTCACATCATAATCAAAAAAAAAAATAAATAAATAAAAACAATAAAAATCGTCTCATCTCCGCGTGTTTCGAACCCGCTTACGAGCGCCGCCTCTATTAACGTAGCCACTGCACCGCTTGCAAGAAGAGCTGCAAATTTGGAGTTAAGTAGCAGCTGATAATTCAAGCAGTATTCAATCGCAATTTTGATTCTTCGAATAGAAAAGAATACACGCATTTGAATGCATTAAAGAAGCAAACGCCTTCACATAGTGGCCCTAGTACCAACTAAACTAAAATTTTACGAATGTGATGAAATTTGGAGCCGGTATCAAAAATCCAACAAAAATCAAAATTGCATAAAATATACATAAAACTAAATACAAAATTTGGTAGCTCTTAAGAAGTCCGAGATATAATTTATTAACTACATTTCGATCATGTTTTATTCGATAAGAATCAAATGCAAATAGTTATCGAATATTTGAAACAAATGATATGCGCGTGCTATACACGGACCTACAAAAAGTAAAGTCTTCAGGTCTCTAGCTTTAATAGATGCTGAGATCGACGCGTTTACACATACAGACAAACGGACGGACGGACAGAGTGAAGGATAGGACTCATTCGACTCGGCTTGTCGTCCTGATCAAGAATATATATACTTTATGGGGTCTGCCTGTTACATACATTTGCACAAAACCATTATACCCTGATCTCACAATTTACAGGGTATAAAAATACATACGCTTTGCTTGCTTGTCACGTGCTTCAGAAAATTGGCCAAACATTTTGCTTAATAATTTCCGTGCTACTTAAATTCAGTATATGATCTACATATTCTGTTGGAACATTTGTCAGTTTAGTAAAGCTGTAAACAATTTGGGAAAATTTGGAGCCCATATAAATTCAAGTTTCAAGTCAAGTCTTTAGGTTCTGAGATCGCCGCGTTTACACACACGAACAGACGGCCGGGCAGACGCACACCTCCTTCTGCCTTTTGCACACATTTTAACAAAAACAATTTTCCCATTTTTTTCTCATTTTCAATGGGTTCAGGGTATAAAAATATATATAATATGAACTTGTTATTACCTAATTATGCGAAAGAGTTTTCTGCTTTGCATATAATTTGTACAAAATATAGTCCAAGTATGAAGTCTACACTACTCCATTGCCATATTTTATATATGCTTAGAATAATATTTTATCATCATTTCTTGTTTATGTATATAACAAATGTTTCTAAATTTTTCTTTCTTAAACTCATATGCAAGCCTATATATTCTTATATGTATAGGAATATTTTTGTCTGACGTCAAAAATGAAATAATATTTGTATTATAGTTTCATAATAAAATTGCGCGTGTTTTTAATATATTTTTGTTTTTATGTATGTCATGACCTATGTCTAACTTAAATCGAGAGTTATGGCGATAATAAGATACGGATTTGTGCTTAATGCTTATTACGTTGAGTAAGTCAAAAGAGTTGGTGTATTTGATATAAATTAATTCACATAGCTTTATAGAAGTAATTATATATAAATCGAATCCGGTCTATTTTAGTAACTATTTATAAATATATATTTGGGTTCACCTTTCTAAAGTTAAGAAAGCTTAAGCAAAATTTGGAATAGCTTTAAATATTTTTTTATTAAAAAATATAAATGGGGATACCCTGAAGTCTAGAGTTTAGGGACTTTATAAAGCTTAAAAGCAATGTTTTTTCTCGAGCCGATTAGGTTACTCTTATACTCTACGCTCAATATATTTGTTGATAACAGAAGTTCTTAAATAACACAGTTATATACAAATTAAAAGCCAGCTCTATGCAAATTAACTAAGCAAATATTTATAACTTGAAGAAATGTATTTCTGTATCTCTCAATTTATACTCAAATTTTCTTTAACCTTATTCACGCTGTCTTCTTTGCATTGAACAACATTACTGATTAGCTCAATCAGCATGCACATAATATATGTATATTCTTAAATGTATATGCATACATATACACATGTAAATATTTACATGGGAGTTGGCGCATGTTTATGTCTCCGTCCGCTCACCATTTGCCGTTCTCTCCTCTCTTTTTCGCTCTATTTCTTATCTGCCGTTACTTTTGCGTACATTGACATGTAATATGCTCACGATACCCTATAGACGTAGGGAGTTGGGCATATGCTGTTGTAAGCTATTAAACATAAGAAGTATGTGAAAAATTTGGTGAATGTCAATTTGAAAAAATGTTAGAACGATCTCAGCATCTTGAAATTTTTTGTAGGTACGTTTATAGCACGCATATCTAGTTTGTTTTAAATAATTGATAACTTTTCCCCTTTTATTGTTATCGATTAAAAACATAATTAAAATGCAGTTAATTAATTTTGATTTTTATTATATTCTGAATATCGGCTTCAAATTTCCCCAAATTCTTAAAAGTTAGAGTTAGAAGGTTACTCGTTGCCGAGGAGTTAATACAAACTATGTCGTAATGTCGTAATACAAACTCTGGAAAATATTAAAAAACAAAAATTACGGTATCTGATAGTCGTTTTGTGTTTTGTGACGTTGCATTCTCTGCCCATTCGTATTCGCGTTCACATTGCCAGCACAAAGCCAACGTCGCTTAGTCTCTGCAGTACAGCCATCGAGTGCGGTGGTTTCGCTGCTTATTCACAATTTTCTTCAAGTCTTCTGTTTTGATCGCTACGTTCACTGTTGCTTGTGCTGTAAGTGAAAGTTCTGTATATATATAAATAAATATATATATATATGAATATATATTTGAGGAAGCACTACAAAATGTTTTCTGCCGGCATTGGCGAGGGTCAAAGCAAAGTTATAGCCATGTGGGCGATTCTTAAAGATTGCCCACGTAGCAACATATATTATATATATCTAAATCTAATCATGTGTTTTTCTCTACGCTCTTGCCAAATTTAAATTTGGGGCACGTGTCGCTTCTCTCAGAAATTGTGAAAAAATCGACCGAAAAACACTTTTCGCTTGTTCCGGTTTTGGTTCATATACGTGTATGTCAAGAATTATGTATGTAGTCGAACATATATACCAAGTAGATCAAACAGGTTATCAGTGCTAGGCTACACACAACGAAGCTCCACTATCTATCACTATGTCGTATTTTTACTGGGTCTTCATTTGACCTTCAAACATTTATTTGGTTTGGCATTTAATTTTTGTGTATGACATTGTTGTTGTTGTTGTTTTTTAAAGAACCACAGGAACCGCATCATATATATATATACACCATATACGACCAAGCCATGGCGGACAGCAACGGTGATTGTAAGTGGAAAAATGAAACCCTGCACTGCTTTCCCTCTACCCGCACCAGCTTCTCCTTCGTTTCCTGCCTGCTGCCTGCCTCCTGTCTGCCTATTGACTATTTACCCTCTTAATTGCACCACAAGTTTTCAATTATTACAACTTGCATAACAAGTTGCCCCAGCTCCACCCAACTAACTAACGAGCTGTGTAACATTATGATTCGTAGATAGTCCTGCACTCTATACACTTTGCTATCACTAAAAGCCTAGCCCCTAATTCTTAGTAGATTATAAAATTGATAATCCCATACTTATTTACGCTGCTATTATTTTAATTTGTTTTGCAAACTAAATATTTATTATTGTGCTTATATAATATACTAAGCACAATATATGCTTATTCCCTGGCTTTATTATTTATGATTCCATACTAATTTTGTATAACTTGTCTTTAATCTAGGCTTGAGCAATGGCTAGAACTCTTATCAAAAATAATGAGATAAAATAAAAAAATAAAAATAAAAAATGTATATGATATATGCTTAGTTAAAACAAAATATATATCTTAAATATTCAGATATTAGAAACAATTATTTATGCATACATAATTTACTTTTCTTTAAATGCTTTCTTTTAGCATAGATCTTATAAAATTAAAGGGAAAGCCAATCATTTTTTAATGGTCCTCATATACATAAATCAAAAATATTTTTATAATAATATATCAAATCTTGCATATTAATATTATGTGTGTATACTGAAAATATAGACTTCACTGCCAAGCGCAGTTTTCTTAATAGATTAAGTAACTTAAAATATATGTTCCCTGCCTAACCCAATGTTAATAAAATGGGTCGCATATATACTTAATTAGTTTCCATGGCTAAATTTATAGTTTTGCCAAGCAGGCTGTTCGACTGTCTTCAGATCGTTTAGCATATAGTGACTATATGCGTCGTATCTTATTAACCATTTCACTAAGTTACTTTAATTTCTAAAAGCCATTTCATGGCACACATTATACCCTGATTTCCCATTTTCAATGGGTATAATAAATTGGAATTTATCATGTCGAAATTATGTATCATAAAAGAATCCCAATGTGACATTAGCCATGTTAGCTTATAGTAACAATCAATGTCTACATTGTTGTAAATACGAAATGCTATTGCTCGATCCTAACTGGAATAGAACTTTGCCTAACATACTTTTTCTCGATCCTTCCGACTGTTAGCAAAAATGACTCAACAGGGGCCCGCCTTCGACTCGAATGCGATGACGCTGACGCGTTTTGTCCTGCAGGAACAGCGCAAGTTCAAGGAAGCAACTGGAGATCTGTCCCAGCTGCTGAATTGCATACAGACAGCCATCAAGGCGACTGCATCCGCAGTGAGAAAAGCTGGCATAGCCAAGCTGCATGGAATCGCTGGGGATATCAATGTGCAGGGCGAGGAGGTAAAGAAATTGGATGTGCTGTCGAATGAGCTCTTCATCAATATGCTGAAGTCATCCTACACCACCTGCCTGATGGTCTCCGAGGAGAACGAGAATGTCATCGAGGTGGAATCGGATCGACAGGTGAGTGAGCTACACTTCTCAACAGGATTGACTGATTGATTGATCGCATTTGTGTACAGGGTAAATATATTGTTTGCTTTGATCCGCTGGATGGTTCTTCGAATATTGATTGCCTCGTCTCGATTGGTTCAATCTTTGCTATTTATCGGAAGAGGAGCACGGGGGTGCCCACCGTACAGGATGCACTGCAGCCGGGTAATCAGCTCGTTGCTGCCGGGTATGCGCTCTACGGCTCTGCGACAGCCATTGTCCTGGGTCTGGGTAGCAGCGTGAATGGGTTCACCTACGATCCGGCTATTGGTGAGTTCATTCTAACCGAACCCAATATGCGTGTGCCAAACAAGGGCAAGATCTATTCGATCAATGAGGGCTATGCATCCGACTGGGATGCGGGCGTCTACAACTACATCGCTGCAAAGAAGGATCCCAGCAAGGGAAAGCCGTACGGCGCTCGCTACGTCGGTTCCATGGTGGCCGATGTGCACCGTACTATCAAATACGGCGGAATCTTCATCTATCCGGCCACCAAGTCGTCGCCCAATGGCAAACTTCGTCTACTCTACGAGTGCAATCCCATGGCCTTTCTCATGATCTTGGCTGGCGGTCTGGCCAGCGATGGCAAGATCAGCATACTGGACATTGTGCCCAAGAAAATTCACGAGCGTAGCCCCATCTTCCTAGGCTCCAAAGCTGATGTGGAGGAAGCGCTTAGCTACCTAAAGTGAATCTCCTGTCTGAATAAATGTTTTTTAAATATTCTATTCGAATGCCAGAGAGAGGATTGGATGGGCTATGCTGCATACAAAATAAGATTGAAAGGTCTTCAGAACAGAGCTGATACTCCAATCCCATTTTGTATAAAGTATAAATAGATATTCACATATGGCACTACACAACTAGGTAAATATGTAAGTATATTATAAGTAAGCCAATTTACAATATTAACTACTTGGATTCCAAGCTAAGGTCAATTAAAAGGCAGCTTAAGACACTTGCCTAGGTGGGCATAGAGTTGAAAATGTTAAGAGTAACTGTTAAAATGTTTTGATTTATGACTAAACATTAGCTACTCACATTCTCTTATACACACTATACATATCTAGTCTGATCTTATGTTGGGAGAGTCGTAGCATTTGAGGTGTATCTCTTGTACTTAAACACCCCTCAGCGATTAGCAATAAGGTAAGCCTGTACAGTTCCAGTACCTGCTACATAGTACTCATATTCATAAACACACATGAACTGGCATACTCCTGGTAAATCCTTGACTCTCATATGTCCTCTCGAAGTCGAAGATATGTTCTCAAATAGTCTTATATTAACAATACAGTAGCAAACATTAATAGTTAACAAATAATGCGCAATTCCTAATGTCTAACCGCAGGTCAAATTAGACTTAGGATTTGCAACAATTGAATTCCATTCTCCTATGTAATTTGGCTTATTCTTAAAAGGAATTGGCCTTGTGTTTGGGCACAAAGCTAAATCCTTGGGGTACAGGACCAAGTAGCATTTCGCTGAGTCGTACCCAGTCGGAGGCATTGCCAGAGCTCATCAGTGTTTCCATTTCATCGCGTCCGCGATACTTTTGAGGCCTGGCATTGATTTTCTGTGGTGGCGACTGCTGCAGCTCCTCAGGTATGTAGCGATAAAGGAACGATTGCCATTCGAGTAGAAAGCGTCTGGTGCTCTCCACGCCTTTTGTATCGGAGCCCCAGTGCTCCAGTCCATAGTTGCAGTAGCGACGCAGCAACTCGAAGCGTTGCGTTGACGTGGGGGACCATGCTTTTTGCTCTTTGATTTCCTGGAAGATCCAGGGCTTGATCAATGCACCACGTCCAATCATCACAGAGCTAACGTGGGGAGCTAGAGCACGTCGCTCCACATAGTCTTCGTAGCTCAGTATGTCGCCGTTCCCAATAACGGGCATGTGCTTGGCTTGCTTGGCGCACTCCTCAATGTACGTCCAGTTGGCTTGGCGTGTGTATCGCTGCTCTCTCGAACGTCCGTGCATGGTAACAGCCGCGGCGCCCCATTGCTCCACCAGCGGCAGCAGCTCGTGGGCAACACTCTTATCTGCATAGACACCTGTGCGCATTTTCACAGTAAAAGGCAGTCGATCAGACAGCGCTGAGCAACTGCGCACAGTTAGCTCCAGTATATTGGTGCGTCGCATCAGTGCACTACCGCCGCCCTGCTGGTAGATCAGGTCAATGGGACAGCCTATATTCAGATCGATGAAGTCAATCCGCGCTGTTTCGTGCAGCACTTGTGCCGCCTGGCTGATCACATTCGGGTTGTTGCCACACAGTTGCACGCCAAAGATTTGTTCGCTCTCATGGCGCTTGGTCAGCGCCCACTCCTGGCCGAGACCCTTGAGCAGCGGCACAGCGCATGCCATCTCCCCACAGGTGATGTCTGCGCCGAATTCTTTGCAGATGCGCCGAAAGGGCAAATTGCCCACTGTGGTCAGCGGGGAGAGCAACAGCTTCTCACGAAAGTCGATGACGGGCTTTCTTTGAGCATCACGTCCGGCTGGCGCTTCACTTATAGCACAGCCAATAGCTTTACTCGCCGTTGACTGCTCCACTGTTGCGTCTTCCTTTTCTATCGATTCTATTAGCTGCTCATCCTGCTGCTGGTTTTCCTTACTTTCTATGCCCTTGTCCTCCAGCTTCTGTTGCTTCTGGTCCTGCACCTCCTCTTCCTTCTGCTGTCGATTCTTCTTATTTTCATCTCTGAGCTTCTCCGCCATCTTTATCAACTCCTTGCTACGACTGAAGTCGTAGTCATGCTTGCGCAGACGCACCTGCAGCTCTACTTAGAAAATATATGTATCATTACACTCATGCACTACTTCAGTTCCATTTTACTTCACCTGAGCTGATGCCGTTGCACGTAGTCTGCGCCGTATTTTCGTCGTAATTCGGCTTCTTCATGTTTTGTCCATTCTCATCTGTGTGGGATTTGGCGAAACGGCATGTGATGCCACGGCCACAATAGCCCTTGGTGGAATAGACATAACACTGCTCACCCAAATCCGCACCTTTGGCTTCGATAAAAGCCTCAAGATCGTGGACGTAACGGCAATTAGGTACAGTACATGGTGCGCCGCCAGCGCCATCTATCAGTGAGTGGCAAAGATGCGAGTAGCGCTCATCTTTGAACACAGGGCGATTCTGATAATAGCAAACGTTTTTATACAAGAACTGTAAGTTAAATAAATATTTACTTTATTCTGGCCACGCTTGCGCTCTTTTTTGCCACTTCCACGTTTACTTTTGGGCTCGCTTGTATCCTCTGCGTTTTCCAGGTGTTTTCTTTTGTTTGTTTCTCCATCAGCGGGCGTATTTATTTCGCTTCTCCGGTCACCATTAGGTTCAGCTAACAAATACCTTTTTAATGAAAAATCTTCCATATATTCAACTCTTTAAAATGCACATAGCCATCACTTACTCCGGCTTAATGTAACAAATGCCCGGCTCCATTTCGCAACGTGCGTGAGGGTTCGGAAACAGAAATAAAAGAAATGTTTTAGTACAAACTAGAGATGCGCGAATTGAACTGCAGTCGAGCAACCAAAACAACAACAACCAAACATGTGCTTAAAATCAGCTGTTTTTATCGAAAACTTTTAAGATAACTATCGATTGCCGTTGGTGCTCAACTCAATGCTTAAATATATGCGCATTTTTATTTAATATAGTCTATACTTACCAACGAAAATGTAATTTAATTCTCAGTCTTTTGTGTCGAAGGCTGTCAGTCGTAATTATTTTAATATGAACCATGGTTCTATAGCAAACTTTCATGTCCATGTTCACAGCATACTAGCCCTCAGTAACCGATCAGCTGTTTGCAATGGTGCAAGTATTTAAGTTCCTGCTAAAATCCACAAAAACGGTTAGTAGTTTAGTATAGAATTAAAATGCAATTAATGTAAATTACTTATGCAGCATACTCGCGCACATTTTCGCTCCAATTTCCTGGATACTTTGCGTCTGACGGTACGTGGAGGACATGGTGGCAATGGCCTACCCAAATATGGAGGAGTTGGCGGCCAGGGCGGCTGCGTCTACTTTGTGGCCAAAGAGGGGCTAACATTGCGGAAAGTAGCACAAAATCTAAAAGATAAACGTGTTCAGGCGACCAGCGGCGAGGATAGCAGCAAAGTGAGCATATATGGTCGACGCGGCATGGATCAAAGAATAGAAGTACCATTGGGAGTGCAGCTTTACGATGAGCAACAACAGAAACTGCTGGCAGATCTCAACGAGCACGATGCCAGCTGCATTGTGGCGGGTGGTGGTACAGGCGGCTGTATAGGCAACAATTTCATCGGTCGTCCTGGACAGAGTCGTACAATTCAGCTTGACCTGAAATTAATAGCGGATGTGGGTTTGGTTGGTTTTCCCAATGCAGGAAAGAGCACGCTGCTAAAAGCTATATCCAATGCGAAGCCCAAGATAGCAGCGTATCCTTGTAAGTGCTAAAATTCATGTTGCTTCTATTGCTTACTTTTCGTTTCTTTTTGAAGTCACCACAATTCGGCCTCAGATCGGAACCGTGGAGTATGCAGATCTACGTTCCATAAGTATTGCCGATCTTCCTGGTTTAATTGAAGGAGCGCATGCCAACTTTGGCATGGGCCACAAATTTTTGAAGCACATTGAGCGCACTCGCCTGCTGCTCTTTATGGTAGACATTTTTGGCTTTCAACTGAGTCCACGCCACTCACATCGGGACTGTCTGAGCAACATTTATGCCCTGAACAAGGAGTTGGAGCTATATGATCCTGAGTTGCTGGAGAAGCCCTGTGTGTTGTTACTCAACAAAATGGACAGAGAAGGCGCAAAGGAATTGCTCTCAAATCTAAAGCCATTTCTTAAAGACTTAAACAGCAGTCTTTCCGCGTGTCCCGATGAACTACGTCCAAAGAGAGTGATCCAATTTAAGCATATTTTACCAATATCTGCGAAAAACTCGGCGCGCATTAGTGAAGTAAAACAAAATCTGCGTGCAACACTCGATGATCTGGCGGAACAGCAACTGGTCACAGATCCAAAGGTACTTAAAGACCAGTTGCAGCAACGGGTGGGCGTTATAGGACCCAAAATAACATAATAAAATTAAGGTTAAAAAACAAACAAAAAATATATAATTAAAAAATGAAAACATTTTTATTTTGTCTGTTATTGAACAAGTCGATTAATGGATCCCAACAAAAATGTAGAATAAAATGAATAGTTCTGGTAAGTATCTTAACAAGAAACCTGTATCTGCGCTACATTTTGAACGATTAGACCAATTCGACGCTGGTCGCTCTCTGATAACACTTAGTGCAAGTAAAACATCCCAAGCGGTTATTTTATACATGTGATCCATTATCGAATCTAATTAGAAGTTTCGAATTCAAATAAGCGTTGCCATTTTTCCCGATTTCCGTATCGATAGCACTGCGCAAGCGAAAGCATCGAACATTACTGCGCCACCTGGCGATTATCACATCACTAAGCAACCACACGACACACATACTTGCAAATATACGCACATGCATGCACGCAGGAGTTTGTTGTGTCGCGTCGCGCTAAATTAACGAAAGGAATGAAAAAAATCTTAAAAATTTCAGTGCTCACGCCTAATGTAATAATTTCCAATTGGTGATCAATCGTTAACTAGTGAAAAATATGTCCAATTGGCTTGAAAGCGTCTTAATTATGAATGAATACAATTGACATTTCGATACATACACAAACACATACATGTACACATCTTTGCGAGGGGGGCAGAACTCTGAAAAACTGGTATATAAAAGACGACGCCAAATGAAAAAGACAGCGCGCGCGAGTGAGAGAGATAAAACAGTAGTAGTATACTGCGGGTGTTTTTTTTTTGCTAATTGCCAATTGCATAGGTAAAACGAAAATTTGCCTAAAATCAGAAATTCAAGTTTATATCTAACGTAATGTCACAACACAATAATCAACCGCATTCGCATCAGCATCAACAACAACATCTTCACTACTACCAGCAGCAGCAGCAGCATCACCTACAGCAACAACAACACCAGCAGAATCAGCATTTACAACATAAACAAATACAACAGCAGCACAGTTGGTACTCACATGTTGCTTCCTACCCGCCCCAACAGCCGCACCCCTATGCGACGCCCTGCAAGAGCAGCAACAATAACAATCACAACAACAACAACAACAATAACATTATGAATGCATACGGAACGGGTGGGACACACTATTACGGCGCTGCTACTACTGCTGCTGCTGCTGCGGGGGTGGGATATAACCTTGAAGCTAATACTGTGGCCTATGCGCACAACCAGCTGCTGCAATACCAACAACAACAACAACAACAGCAGCAGCAGCAGCAGCTTGGTCAACGTTCGTATATGCCGCACAGCATAATGCACAGCTCCTATCCTTATATTAAGAGCGAACCGTTGGAGCTGCCCGATGACAGACAACGCCATCAACAACACCAAACTCAGCAGCAATTACAACAGCAGCAGCAGCTACAACAACATTTTCAAAACCCGATGGCACCGCCGCCAGCACCCGCCTCCAATCGCCACACGCTTGATGCCAGTGGCGAAATGATAATAAAATGTAAGTATCGAGATTTTGGGGATATCGATATCCACACTTAGACAGTCATGCAAATATACTAACTGTTATAAGCAATTGGTTCTAGAGGAGGTCGTAGAGATGGGCATATATTAGATATTAATGGCACGACACAAAACATACTTCGAACCGAACGAATTTCTACAATAATTGCATATTTGATGACTTTAATGATGAAACGTTGATTTTTTATCTCTATAAATAAAGTTTATTTCTTTTTTAAAAAAATGAAATTGTGTTAAATTTTGAATGGTTCAGTCATTTTATAATTTTAATTAAGAAAAATAATAAAATAAGCATGAAATGGGTTAATTTCAGTAGAAAAATATTGTGATTTAAATTTTTTTTAATCTTAACGAAATATGTAACTGGCGTTCGTGCCGCGCACGCTTTAAAATTCGTGTTTTGCGTTCGTAAATATGCATATGACCATATCTAATTGGTACAGACGCACTCACATAGTCAGAGCGTAACAAAAACAAGACTGAGAGTGTAATTGACTGAGTGAGAGAGAGAGAGAGCTTCCAGTTACTGTTACTTGGGCGCCCATATATTTTGTCGTATAGCGTAAGTAGCAGTAATTTCAGCTCCGTTTTTTGGCGTCGCCGAATCAATAAAACGTTTTGTTACAGAGTTAATATACGCTGGAGTTTTTAGCGGTGGTTTCGTTCGGTTAGTTTTCGGTGGGCTCCCTAGGTTTTCGGTTTAACAATTTTAGTTTTCGATTTTTTTGTTCGTCTACGTATCTGTATCTCTGTTTCTGAGTGATTTTTGTCTGTTTTCCTGTGTGTATGTATCTATTTATTCGCCAAAGTAGCTAAAATATATGTATATACCATCGTATTATATACTCAGCTACATAGATACCTTATATTACCGGCTATGACCCTAACGTTTATGTATACTGTCTCCAATCCAACTATTGATGAGCATTTGCTTGGATGTGTTTTCGTGTGTGTGTTTGTTGATTCTCTGTTTTAAGTCTCGAATCTTATGTAACTTTCAGGTTCCTAAATATATTATAACCTTTGCATGCATACATGTTCATAACCAATTGGGCGCTGTCTAAAAAAAATGTAAAAAAGCTCTTTATCAATTTTTACCTTAATTTCTTTAAGCACACTTATGGAAAACTAAGATATAGTGTTTTCCATACTTATAAATTGATAAATTGATGTGTGTATATAGAAAAGAAAAAAGAAAAACACTCTCGCTTCTGTTATCTCTATATTCATGCTTATCAAAGTAGCGAGAACAACTGAATACAAATCTACAGTATGAATGTGTACGTAAAACCATATAAACTGAAAAAAACTAAGGTCTTCTAGAAGATACTTCTACATACATATATGTGTATAGGTACATGCATCCATACATAGGTATGTTTTCGTTGGTTAAATTAAATCTTAGTAGCTTAATTTTCGTTATAAATATTTTTTTAAAACAATCATAATTATAATCATCCTTTAATAGTGAAAGCGTTTTTATTGTACATTTCATTTAACATATGGTCAGATCAGATTATTTTTAGCACTCAAGCTGTAAGCATCACACAATATGAAAGAAAAAAGTATAATTCTTTGTGATTTCTTGGTGAATTTCTCATTTATTGGATTTCCCGATTTATTGTTTTAAAACATATTTCTATAAAGAATTTGTAAATGGAACTTAAATATTATCAAAAAGAATAAAATATTAAATATTATCCATGAGCGATTATAAAATATTACTACCTGAATATAGAATATAAACATGTATAAAAGTATGGGACATATTTTCTATTTTGCACATAAGATTTGTTTCGATATGCTTACAAAAATAGATTTCTAAAATTAAAATTAATTTCATTAAAGCACAACAAATTCAGCCGAACGAAATTAGATCGATAAAGAGCTGAGATAATTAAATTGCATATTAATCAAAAATTGTATATATTAATTTTGTTTTTGACAGCGGAACCCATTGACGAACATGCGTTCAAGTCCAGTTATATTGATGATAATACACCCTTTGCCGATTTTAGCAAATTCCCCGAATTCGGCGATGAAATGCTGAGTCCCAAGGTAGAGCTAACTGTAAAGGATGATGCCTACGGCAGCCAAAAGGTGAGCTGGGACAGACTAAAAACTGTGTTTTATTTATTAAACAGATTTATTCTGAATTGTAGAATCCGCTCAGCTTTCCTCGCCGTAAGCTACAAACGGAACGGTCCTCGGAGAGTCTGCCTATTTGTCAGCGTTGCAAGGAGGTGTTCTTTAAGAAACAAATCTATCTGCGTCATGTGGCTGAGAGCAGCTGTACGATACATGAGTACGACTACAAGTGCAACATCTGTCCCATGTCCTTCATGGGCGTCGAAGATTTACAGAAGCACAAACAACTGCATCGCACGGATAAGTTCTTCTGCCATAAGTACTGTGGCAAGCACTTTGACAACATTGCCGATTGCGAGTCGCACGAGTACATGCAACATGACTACGATAGCTTTGTGTGCAACGTAAGAAGGGAGAATGGATCTCATTTACAAGAGGAAGCCCTAACTAATTTTATTTTACCATTTGCAGATGTGCTCAGTAGCATTTGCTACACGTGAACAGCTTTATGCTCATTTGCCGCAGCACAAGTTTCAACAGCGCTTCGATTGTCCTATCTGTCGGTTGTGGTATCAAACTGCGCTAGAGTTGCACGAGCATCGTCTAGCGGCGCCTTATTTTTGTGGCAAATATTATGCAGCGGCACATCAGCAACAGCAACACCAACAGCAACAGCTATCGGAGCAAAGCAACTACAAGCTGCAAGACTGCCACATGGGCACAATAGAGAGTGAGCCTTGGTTATTCAAACTGTTTTGCTAAGCCTAATGTTTTCTTTCTTTGCAGTGACCGTGCCGCAGCATAAAGCATTGCCAGCCACGGCGGCTCTTAGTTCCTTACTGCAGCAGCGTCAAGCGAATGCTGACGGTGGTGCTTCTCTCTTTTCCTCTTCCTTAAAGAATGAGCCAAGTGTTAAGCTGGAGCGAAGCTACAGCAACTCAACCAGCGAGTCTGGATACAGCATGCACGAGAGCAGCGGTTACAACAATGCATATGGGAGTGATAATTCGCTGCATGGCAGCGGCGTTGCAATTGGTGGACCGCAGGCACATTCTTCCACGCTAGATGAATCGGAGGATGCGCTGTGCTGTGTGCCCTTGTGTGGTGTTCGCAAAAGTACTAGCCCCACTTTGCAGTTCTTTACGTTTCCCAAGGATGAGAAGTATCTGCATCAATGGCTGCACAATCTCAAAATGTTTCATATACCTGCGTCGAGCTATACCAGCTTTCGCATCTGTAGCATGCATTTCCCCAAGCGCTGTATAAATCGCTATTCGCTGTGCTATTGGGCAGTGCCCACGTTCAATCTGGGCCACGATGATGTCGCCAATTTATATCAGAATCGAGAGTTAACCAACACCTTTACCACCGGCGAGGTGGCTCGCTGCAGTATGCCAAATTGCACGAGCCAGCGTGGTGAAAGCAATCTCAAGTTTTACAATTTTCCAAAGGACATCAAGAGCCTGATCAAATGGTGCCAGAACGCACGTCTGCCCGTCCAGGCCAAAGAGCCGCGTCATTTTTGCAGTCGACACTTCGAAGAGCGTTGCATTGGCAAATTCCGACTGAAACCCTGGGCTGTACCTACGCTCCATTTGGGTGCGCAGTATGGCAAGATTCACGATAATCCTAAGAATCTGTATGTTGAGGAGAAACGTTGTTGTCTGAACTTTTGTCGTCGCAGTCGCTCCTCCGACTTCAACATGTCCCTTTATCGTTTTCCCAGAGATGAGGTACTGCTGCGTCGCTGGTGCTATAATTTAAGACTCGATCCGGCCGTATATCGTGGAAAGAACCACAAAATATGCAGCGCTCACTTTATCAAGGAAGCTCTCGGCCTTCGCAAATTATCGCCAGGTAAGCAACTGTATGCCAAATGCTTTCTTACTTTTATAAATAATTTCTTACTTATTGGACGATGATTAGATTTAGCTTATTATAAATATATAAAGGAGAAGGCCCACCACCTTTCCTTTTTGATTAATTGTCGAGTTTCAAGAGCGTGATCCGATTTATTAAGCCCGTCATAAAAATACTTAAGATATATCAGACAATATCCAGGTAGCGATGGCTTAAATGTCCCAGCGATTCACAATGTCTTAAATTTTATTTTGACTGCTTCCAAACAGGATATACAAGAATATTTCCAGGATATAATAGAGTATATCCAGTGTATCTTTTCCTCCTACATTTGACCCCTTTACTATTGTTTTATTTTTGTTGGCACTTGCATAAACTCATTTTGATAGCGTTGGGCCTAAGCATGACATCATTTGAAAGTTAGTTAATATCTATATACTTGTTGAATGTTCTCTGTATAATTATATCTAATATTCTAATTACCATATAAAATAATACATTTACAGGTGCTGTACCAACACTGCATCTGGGTCACAATGACACCTTCAACATATACGAGAATGAACTGTGGCCCCCTCCAGCACCTTCGACGCCCACACATCATAATCATCATCATCAACAGCAGCTACAACAGCAGCATATGCAGCAGCACCAAGCGCATCAGCAGCAACAGCAGGTTCATCACAAATATCAAAGACATTCGGCTGCTTCCACTTCCTCGTCAGCCAGCTCTACATCCCACTATGTAGATCCAGAGCTAAGTGCCTCCTACATGGCCATGGGCATGGGCGCTGGCGCCTCATCCTCCGGGCTGCTGAATGCGAGCGATAGCATGGACGTCTGCTGCGTGCCCAGCTGTGAAAGCAAGCGGCACAACAACGAGAACATCACATTCCATACCATACCCAGGCGTCCGGAGCAAATGCGCAAATGGTGTCACAATCTCCGTATACCCGAGGACAAGATGCATAAGGGTATGCGTATATGTAGTCTACATTTCGAGCCCTATTGTATTGGCGGCTGCATGCGCCCGTTTGCGGTGCCCACGCTACAATTGGGCCACGACGAGGAGGACATTCATCGCAATCCGGATGTTATAAAGAAGCTAAACATACGTGAAACCTGCTGCGTGGCTGTTTGCAAACGCAATCGAGATCGTGATCATGCCAATCTGCATCGCTTTCCCAGCAATGTGTCCCTGCTAACAAAATGGTGTGCCAATTTGCAGCGAACCGTTCCGGATGGGATTAAACTCTTCAACGATGCTATTTGTGAGGTGCACTTCGAGGAACGCTGCTTGCGCAACAAACGGCTGGAGAAGTGGGCAGTGCCCACTCTTATGCTTGGCCACGAGAACATTCCCTATCCGCTGCCCACTCCCGAGCAGGTGGCCGAGTTCTATGCCCGACCATGTGCACCAAACAATGGCGATGAGCAGGGCGAATGCTGTGTGGAGACCTGCAAGCGTAATCCCAGCGTGGATGATATTAAGCTCTATCGACCGCCGGAGGAGTCGCAAGTGCTGAGTAAATGGGCGCATAATCTGCAGATTGACATTGCTCAGCTGCCTGCCATGCGCATTTGCAATCTACATTTCGAGGCCCATTGCATAGGCAAGCGAATGCGCCCATGGGCCATACCTACGCTCAATCTGGCCAACAATATAGAAAATCTCTTTGAGAATCCCGAGCAGCAGATGTTGTACAAGCGACGCACCTCCCATCTCAGCGTGCAAAGGGAAGGAGCTGATGGAAGCCTTATCAAACCCACCTGGGTGCCACGCTGCTGTCTGCCGCATTGTCGCAAGGTGCGCGCACTGCACAATGTCCAATTGTATCGCTTTCCCAAACTCAATCGAGCCACGTTGGCAAAGTGGGCGCATAATCTGCAAGTGCCGATGGTTGGAAGCGCTCAGAGGCGTCTCTGCTCCGCGCACTTTGAGCCGCATGTGCTCAGCAAGAAGTGCCCAGTGCCTTTGGCGGTGCCGACACTTGATCTCAATACTCCGCCCGGCTACAAGATCTACCAGAACCCATCTAAGATTAAAGCAAATAAATTGTGTATGCAGCGCGTTTGCATTGTGGAGAGTTGTCGTCGGCAACGAGGCCAGGGTGTCCAGCTCTTCCGCTTGCCACACAGTCCCACCCAGCTACGCAAGTGGATGCACAACATACGAATGCGCCCACGCGGAGCAATGCGGCAACAGTATCGCATCTGCTCTCTCCACTTCGAGACGCACTCGTTCAATGGCAAGCGATTGAGCACTGGCGCCATTCCCACTCTCGAGCTGGGCCATCAGGACGATGATATCTATCCGAATGAGGCACAATCGTTCGTCGAGGAGCACTGCGCCATCGAGGGCTGCGATGCTTCCAAGGAGCAGCCGGATGTGCGCCTCTTCCGATTTCCCAACGATGACGAGGATCTGCTTTGGAAGTGGTGCAACAATCTCAAAATGAATCCTGTTGATTGCATCGGCATGCGCATCTGCAACAGGCACTTCGAGACGGATTGCATCGGCCCCAAACACCTCTATAAGTGGGCCATACCCACTTTGATGCTTGGGCACGACGATGTCCAGATTGAGCTGATATCAAATCCTAAGCCTGAGGATCGCTATGTAGATCCGGTGTTCAAGTGCTGTGTTCCTACCTGTGGCAAGACTCGCAAATTCGATGAGGTGCAAATGAACAGTTTTCCCAAAGACTTGACACTCTTCGAGCGCTGGCGCCACAATCTTCGACTGGATCATCTTAATTTCAAGGAGCGCGAACGCTATAAAATTTGCAATATCCATTTCGAAGACATTTGCATTGGCAAGACCCGCCTCAACATAGGATCTATACCCACACTAGAGCTAGGTCACGACGAGACGGAAGATCTCTACCGCGTGAATCCCGATGAGCTTCAGAGCAATTTGTTTGGACGACAGCGACGCGTGAGTATCAAACAAGAACCGGAGGAGCACTTTACTAGACAGGTGAGCAGGTCAGCAGCGATTGTTTATTCAATTTATTTATGCTTCTTTTTACCAGGTGAAGTTCAAGCGATCCCAGTCGGAGCTCAAGTGCTGTGTCGCCAGCTGTGTACGCAGTCGATTAGAAAATGGAGCTCGTTTGTTTCCCTTTCCCACGGGCAAGCAACAACAGACCAAGTGGCGGCACAATCTTCGCCTCAAAGCTGACGAAGTGGATAGGACAACTCGTGTTTGCAGCGCCCATTTCAATCGACGCTGCATTGATGGCAAACAGTTGAGAGGATGGGCCATGCCCACCCAGCAGCTGGGCCACCAGGAGACAAACATCTATGAGAATCCCAAGAATATACCGGGCTTCTTTACCCCTACCTGCGCGTTGGCCCATTGTCGTAAAAGGCGGAGCATTGACAATGATTTGCGCACCTATCGCTATCCGCGCAGCGAGGAATTGCTTGAGAAATGGCGTGTAAATCTTCGCCTCGCTCCAGATCAGTGTCGCGGGCGCATTTGTGCGGATCACTTCGAGCCCATGGTGCGTGGAAAGCTTAAGCTGAAGACAGGTGCAGTGCCTACGCTGAATCTGGGTCACGACGAGGGTATAGTCTTTGACAATGAGGCTATCAAAGTGGGTCTGCAACAAGAGGAGGAACCAGATGGTGAAGAGGCGGCGAACAGCTTGGACTTGCTTGATAAACTGAAGAATGAGCCGCAAGAAGAGGATCAGCATATGGCAAATGACGAGCGGGCAGAAGAACCAGATGAGGAAGAGGAGCAGCAGGAGCAGGATGAAGAAGGAGATGAGCAGCAAGATCAGGGCTATTTTGACCCCTTAGAGCTTGTGGAAACTTTTGCCGAACAGCACAGCGAAGATGAACAGCTCTATAATGACGAAGATGACGATGTTGATGATAATGAGGAAGAGGAAGAGGAAGATATTCCTGGCAACGATGATGAGCTGCTGCTGCCCGATACTCTGCCCATCCAGCTGGCACTTCCACCAAGACGTGAGAAAAGAGAGAAAGCCGTGAATAATGTGACGCCAATATGTTGCCTCAAGCATTGTCGTAAGGAACGCACTGCTACCCATCAGCTGAGCACCTTTGGGTTTCCCAAGGATCAGCAACAACTGCTCAAATGGAGCGCGAATTTGCAACTGGATCTATCCGACTGCGTTGGACGTGTTTGCATTGAACACTTCGAAGCGGAGATGTTGGGCACACGCAAGCTCAAGCAAAACGCGGTGCCCACCTTGAATCTGGGTCATGCCACACCCCTCAGCTATCGTTGCAATGGACAAGCTTTGGGCATCGTTGATGCACAGCCGCAGCAGCATTCGGTTTTTCGGCTTTGGAGCCTAAAACACTGCCGCAAAAGGAAATCGCTGCTGACGCCGACGACGACGACGTCGACGAATCTAGCAGCGACGACGGCTAAGCGTAGCTGCTGCCTGCCCAGTTGCGGCAAGCAAGCGGAGCTGCATGGCGTTCAATTAAGACGCATGCCAAGAGAACGTTTACTGCTGCGCAAGTGGCTGCACAATCTAAAGCTGCCCGCACACTTGAACATCAGCCAGGCGTATGTGTGCGAGGAGCATTTCGAGGAGCAGGCCATGTTGCCTACCTTGCAACTGGGCCATACGGATAGCAACATTTATCGTAGCAGCAGCAGCAGCTCAACGGCAGCTAATGGCTGCCTGGTGCCCAGCTGTCCATGTGCACGTCTCAATCTCTATCGAGGCTACGCACTGCCCGAGCATCCCCAAGTGCAGGAAGCCTGGCTGCAGTGGCTGCAACTGCCGCCTCGTTCTCCTAACTTATCGAGCCACGCCCAGTTGTGCGTCATGCACTATATGCAGCTGTTTGAGCAGGTGCCGTTGCCGGAGAAACTACCCGAGATGGTGCTCTGCGAGCTGCGGGAGACCTATGAGCACATCGCCAGTTCCACCATGGCCATGGCGCTGCGCTGCGCAGTGCCCGGCTGCCAAACCAAATATACGGACAACGTACGGCTCACTAAGTTACCCATGTGCCAGCGTACCCGTGCCCAGTGGTTGCACAATACAAAAATCGACTACGACCCGGAACGCGATTACCTCTATCGCATCTGCATGCGGCACTTCGAGCCCCATTGCCTGGGTTCAGTGCGTCCCAAGCAATGGGCGGTGCCCACGCTACACCTCAACCACAACGATCCGGATATTTATCAGAATCCCAAGCTGGAAGACAACACAGTCGGCATAGCAATCCAGCAGGGTGTACCGCTTGAAATGCCGCTACGCATTAAGACGGAGCTGCCGCTTTTCCTATCTCTCAGCCCGACGGCCAGCCCGAGCGCAAGTCTGAGTCCTAGGGGTAAAATACGCACCTGTTGCATTTCTAGTTGCGGGCAGCAGGCCAATGCTCTCACCCGTCTCTTTCGCTTTCCCAGTAGCGAAACTGCGCTGCTCAAATGGCTGGTGAATACACAGCAGCAGCCGCGTTTCGTGGATGCGCAGCACCTGTTCGTTTGCCAGGAGCACTTCGAGCCGGAGGCCATTTGCAAGAAGCTATTGCGCAGCTGGGCGGTGCCGACGTTGAAACTAGGTCATGATGGTCACATTATACCCAATGCTCGCCACAATGGCAATATTGCTGACAGCCAAGAGAATAAGCAGGCATTGCAGTATATCTGGGCCAACTACTGCTCCGTTCTTACCTGTTTCCAAAAGCGCAGCGAGCAGTTGCGTCTCTTTGCCTATCCCACGGATCGACCCACCATTCGCCGGTGGGCTGCCAACTGCAAGCACCGTTCTATGCAAGCCAGCAGCGATGGATTTCAGGTAACAGCAGATCTGAGCATATATATATAGATATGTATGAAGATAAGTATATATAAATATATTTGTCATTCAGTGTGTATAGCTGCATAGGCATTTTTGTATAAGCCTTACATATTTCTTGTTGCGTCCGACTGAAAGAATATATAAAGCTGTCATATGATAAATTGACCGGAAGATCAAAATTCAATGGGTATAGGGTATAAAAAGACCCTGAACCCATTGGAAATAGAAATATTGGTTTTGTAAAAATTTATGTAAATCGAAGAAGAAGTCCTGGCAGTCCTTATAAGTTTATATATTCTTGATCCGTTGACCTGATCAGTCGATCTAGCCATGTTCGTCTGAGTGTTTGTCCGTCACCACAAATACTAGAAATTTGAGCTTAGTTCGTATAATGATTGGAAAATCATAATTTCGTAGGGTACAGCGCATCTCCTAGTCGAGCCGTATTGCCTATTATTAGTTCACATCTGTTTTCTATACTTTTTTCGCATATGCAAATATGATAAGCTCGAAAGTTTGAACATCATCGGATCGTATTGTGTCTTTTGCAGGTCTGCCAGTCGCATTTCGCGCCAGATTGCTTTGAACCTGAGACCGGGCAACTGAAGGAGAACGCTGTGCCCACGCTTGAGCTAAGCCGACCCGTCTATCAGATGCGTTGCTTGGTTAATGGATGCATGAAGGAGGAGGATGCAGCGCGCCGTCGCTTATTTAAAATGCCGAAGCGAACATCACAGCTGGAGGATTGGTGTCACAATTTGCGCATTGATGCGTCGTCCATTATCGGCCAGGAGCCGCACGTATGTGAACGACACTTCGAAGCGCACTGTTTTAATGCGTACAAGCTGCTACGGCCTGGTGCGCGACCCACACTTCATTTGGGCCATGACGACCTGTTGGATGTGCTGCCTAATCCGGCCAAGTGGGAGGAAGATGCCCACGTATGCTTTGTGCCCAGCTGTGGACGATCGAAGGATGTGGATAATGTGCAGTTATTTGGGCTGCCAAAGCTTAGGGTTCAGCTGGAGAGATGGCTGCAAAATTTTCGTCTCGATCCGAGCAAGGAGCAACTGCACGGCCGTCGCATCTGTAGCGCACACTTCGAGCCCAGCTGCATAGACAATGAACGTTTACACATAGGCGCCATGCCTACACTCCAGCTGGGTCATGATGAGACGGATAATATACACCAGAGTTTCAAAGAACTGCCATCGCCGTTCCGGGGCAAGCGAATTACAATCAATTGCGACTGCTGCTATCCTCATTGCGTGGAACTGCAAAAGAGCTATCAAAAAATTACCTACGAGTTGCCAGAACAGCTGCGGCTGCGCGAAATGTGGCTGTCGTATATGGGATTGGAGCAATGTAGTCAGCAGCAGCCGCTGAAGCTCTGCCCGCTGCACTTGATCATGCTGTACGAGCAGTTCCCTGAGCTTTCAGCGGAAGAGCAGCTGCTGAGTACGAACTACGAAGCTTCTCGCAAAAGCATACGCATACGCCTAGTCAGCTGTGCTGTGCATGGCTGCAGGACTCTAAAACCAAGGGATGAGTGTCGCTTGCATGCACTGCCCACGCGTCGAGATGTGCTCGAGCTGTGGCTAGACAACTTGCAGCTAGCTTACTACGATAATCAGCGTTATTTGTACCGTGTGTGTAGCAAGCACTTCGAAGCTAATTGCCTAATGGAGACGACGCGCCGTCTAAAGCCTTGGAGCGTGCCCACACTGGAGCTGCCAGAGCCACCATTGCATCAGAATCCCACGGAGGAGCAGTGGCAGCGCATGAATGAGCAGCTAGCCGCGCAGCAGCTCTTAGAATCTGATGTTAAGCAGGAGCATGAGCAGGTGCAGGAGCAGGAGCAGGAGCACGAGGTGCAGGAGCAGGAGCACGAGGTGCAGGAGCTGGAGCACGAGGTGCAGGAGCAGGAAGAGTCACAGCTCCAACAAGAATCAGAGGTCAAGCAGGAGTTACAGCTCAAACAGGAGTTACAGCTGGAGCCGGTGCCACAGCCTATGTACGAGGACGATTATGATGAGCAGCAGCCACATGAAATGCAAGAACTGGAGGTGCTACTCGAGGTGGGACACGTAGAGAAGTGCACCACGTATGAACAAATGGACACAAAGTCATCTGTGAACTATGGCGAACAGCTGCTGCACAATCCCTTAGCTCCGGCACATTCTTTAGGTAGCGGTGCGATAGTCAGCAATGGCTCTTCTCAGTACAGTGCACGACATTGCAGCGTGCGGGGCTGCGATGTGACGGCGCTCGATGTGGATGGCAATCTGAAGTTGCACAAGTTTCCAACTTCGATAGATGCTATGGAGAAGTGGATGCACAATACCCAGGTGGATGTGGACATCAACTTCGCTTGGCGCTTTCGTATTTGTAGCTATCATTTTGTCGCTGAGTGCTTCAATGGATCGCGCATTAGACGTGGAGCCATGCCTACGTTGCGTTTGGGATCCCGACGTCCCGCGCATATTTACGATAATGAATTCAATGTTCAGCAGGAGCAGACGATAGCGAATACCGTGGAGGAGCAGCCAGTAGCGGCTGTGGACTCAAAGTTTGATATAAATCTGCGCCTGCCCTGTCCCGCTCCGCCCCGCAAATCTAGTAAATTCTGTCAGATCGACGGGTGCTCGAATCATTTGACCAGCGAAAATTTGACTCTTCATAAGTTCCCCCATTCGGCGGACATGTGTGCTAAGTGGCAACACAACACGCAGGTGCCGTTCGATCCGGAGTATCGTTGGCGCTATCGCATCTGCAGCGCACACTTTGAACCCATCTGCTTGGGCAACATGCGGCTGATGCATGGAAGTGTGCCCACCTTAAAGCTGGGTCCGCGGGCTCCCAAACAGCTCTTTGACAACGACTTTGCAGCGATCAACTTGCGCTTGGATAAAGAGAAGCGCAGCGAGGAAAATTTCACTGTAAAGCAGGAGCAAGCACAGCAATCCGAGGATGATGACCAAGTGCAGGAGCAGGAGCAGGAGCAAGAGGACTTAAGTATGCTAGTGCCAGAGCTGCAGTTGCTTGAAGCTGAGGATGAGGAGGAGGAGCATCAGGACAATTATTCAAACTGCAATAACAATTGGAGCATTAAACAAGAGAAGTCTAGCAACAGCAGCTACTATAATCCCGTCAAGTCGGGCTATGACAAGTGCTCCCTGATCCATTGCCAGCGCCAGCGTTCACAGCATGGTGTGCACATCTATAAATTTCCACGTTCCCGCCAGCTGCAGCAACATTGGATGCATAATTTGCGTATTCGATACGACGAACGTCGTCCATGGAAGACCATGATATGCAGCGTGCACTTTGAGCCGCAGTGCATACGACTAAGGAAGCTTCGTCCTTGGGCAGTGCCCACTGTGGATTTGGGCGACAATGTGCCAGAGCAACTGTACACGAACGAGCAGAGCCAGCAGCAGATGGAGGCGGGCAGCGAAGGTGAGGGTGACGGTGAGGATTATGATGTGGAAGATACAATGCTGGAGGACTACGTTGATGATTACGAAGACAATGAGCCGGAGGTGCAGCCTGCGGAACCTCATATCAAACGAGAGCGCCGTTCACGCTGCGATCCTTTGCCTCCTGGACAGTTGCCGCCATGGAAAATAAAGCAATGCTGTTTACCCTACTGCCGCAGACCACGAGGCGATGGCATCAAACTCTTTCGACTGCCCAACAACATTAGCGCCATACGCAAATGGGAGCAAGCGACAGGCATGCGCTTCTATGAGTCGCAACGCAACACAAAGCTCATATGCAGTCGTCACTTCGATCCGCAGCTAATAGGCGTACGTCGCCTAATGTCTAATGCGGTGCCGACAAGGAATCTTGGTCCAAATAACCCAGAGCCGGAGCTGCCGGCAAGTAGTCCGCGCTGTTGCATCACGGATTGCCAACACAATGGGCTAGTCAAGCTGCATAAGTTTCCCAGTGGTAACGCAAAAAGAGAGACGGCGACCATTCTGTTTCAGCTTCTAATCTGTCTCTCACTTTTCTCACAGATCCTTTGCTGCTGCATCAATGGTGCCAAGCGCTGGATTTGCCGGAAGTACAACGCTACTCTGGTAAACACATTTGCGCAATCCATCTACCAGCTAAGGCTTTTAGTTGCCTCATATGTGGTGTTGAGGATGTGCAGCTGCCCATGCAAGACTTCCCCGAGAATCGCAATCAGCGTGTCAAATGGTGCTATAATCTTAAAATTGAACCCATTGCCAAATGGGACAACACGAAACACATCTGCTCTAAACATTTTGAGAGTTATTGCTTTATACAGCCGGGTCGTCTGCTCCCGGATGCAATGCCTACGGTGCATTTGAAGCACACTGATAACAATATATTTCTCAATGAGTATGCTATAAATAAGAGTAAGATGCTCTGCATCAAGGATGAACCCTTGGAGAGTGAGGATCTGATGCTATAACACCCGCAGCCTAAATCGAAACTGTCATTTTATTGCCCATTCAGAAAGAAGAATACAGGAGGTCATATTGGGTTTGTGCAAATTATGTAAGAGGCAAAAGAAAGCGTTAGCAATCCCATTAGATATAAATATTCTTGATCAACACGACGGCCGAGTTGTGCTCGTCAGGTCCGTCTGTATGAGAGTTTCGATTTTAAATATAGTTATGCGTTCTTATGGGTTTCACAGTAATAGGTTTTAATTTTTTGCGATACATCATTAATCACAATACCTTAATATTTATAGCAATGAATAATTCGACTTGACTTTTAAGATGTAGAGTTTCCAAATTTGGATTGCAGGATCAACCAATGAATACGCAGGTTATGAATATTCTCCTCTCGGATTATTCCGCCACTATCAGAATGGTGCTCTAATGCAGGTCACCACAGGGTTCAGGGTATCTATTTCTTTGTCGGGCAATCCCGATCAGATTACTCTTAGTTGTTTGGAGTAGAAGTATCAAGTCCCCCCTGTCTATAAGCCACTTCATTTTAGCCTAGTATTAGTCTCAAATAATTTAAAAATACCTAATACTTAGTTAATAAGTATCGCTATCAATGTATTTATGAAAGGAAGCATCACGTCTACCCTAAATAATCTTAAGTAGAAACCAACCCCTTTCCTAATCGTAATATAACGAAGTAGCTAATCTATATATTTATACATATATATTTTATATATATAATATAGTCGTCTATTTGGTAATCGAGTGATTTTATAAACCTTATGGCCATATGATTTAACCTTCACAATGTTCCTTGTTTAGTATTTGATTTAATTCAATTCTTAAATTGTTTTACTTTTAGTTTAGTATTATATTAAAGTAAATATATGACAGCTCCTCATGCCCAAAAGGTTAAAGGATATTTGTGTGAGATGTGTCCTTAAATATCAAATTTTAGTATTGACCGTTGAAGATGAGCTACACTTAGAAGTCTCCATAACGTTAGCGTCGACTCGTTGCGAAAACTCAACCATTTCCTTAAGGATTGCATCAAACAATATGACTATTGATCCATCATACTCCTTTTAATATCAAATAAGCATATATATATATATATATATATATATATATATATATATATATATATATATATATATATATATATATATATATGTAAACCTGTAGCATATACAAAAGTACTTGGTGTCTTATAAAATATACATAATAAATGAAAATCTTATATTACTAAGATACTTGCCATAAAAATTACACTTGACTTTGACCTTATGTTCTATACATATACTATACTATATATATAAAGTTTAACAAAAAGATTTTTCGACGTGCCGAAGATTACTTTTGAGGACATATCTTATTATCTGTATACATTTTGCGTTTATTTAAAAAAAAAACCTATACAAGTGTGGTTTGAAAATGTATTAGAAGTGAAATTTAGCGCGCTCTTTTTACGTAAAATTGAATTCAATTTAGAAATATATTTAATTTTTTGTGATTGTAAGAGGCGAAATATGAATATCTAGCCGAATAGACAAACGGACATATGGATAGATTGACTAGACCGATTCCTATATGCTATATGCATCTGCGGTGAAATATGCGGGTGGTGTAAGAATTCTGAGAGTAGTACGAAGATAAAGGAAGGAATAAAATTATTTAATACAGTACTCTCTTAAATCTTTAGGTCTTAAGCTTAAATAAAAAGAACCCCTAGAGAAAAGTCTGCTACTGCTTGCCCGATTCATTGGCATCCTCGCTTTGCATGTAGCTGCTGTCCAAAAATAAATTGCGATCCGATTTGTTTGACTGAGCAAAAGAGAGCAGCATGTTAGTTAAAATACAATGTATACAGTTTTTTATAAAGTTAAGACACCACCTCACCTCGCGATATTTTTGCAAGTAAATGGAGAGAGGTTCTACATAGTTGTCAAATCCCAAATTGCTGAAAGCCACCAGCAAATCGTCTCCATTCACTGTTTTTCGATTTTCAGCGACGCTGCGCTCAATGGCCTCGCTGCTGATGAAGGAGATGAACTCGGAGACACATTCCTGTATACACTCCCTGGCATCCTTGGCTATTTTTCCATTCTGCGGTACGGGAACTTTCATTATTTTGATGATATTGCAAATGGGCAAAAAACGATCCTGTTCGCGCAACATGATGCCGTGTCCATCCTGTCTGTCCGATTCGTCTGCAATACATTTAAGTCGTTAAGCAAGCTACAGTTGTTCGATTTATTGCCCACCTCCTGATGCCTCATCCTCCTCTTTGACCATCATATCGTTCAGATATTGCTGTGAGTCCTCGCTGTTGCTCATTTTTATTTTGTTTATGTTAGCAAAATTAAAATTCAACCATGGATTTCACTAATTTATGTCAATTGCTACAACTACGTTCCTCAGTTAATTATTTAAGTGAATGACCTATTTGAATCAGGTGAAGCCCAAGCCTATTAATCTAGCAACGATTTGCAATTTAAAAACAAATTGAATTTGTTTGCTTATTGTTTTTTTCCTTGGGAGTATCTCTCACGCAGTTACAGTTCAGTGTACAAAAAATTGGTTATTGTAGTGGTGAAAAGCTATCGATATCATGCTATCGTACATAAATCTAAGCGATATATATTGCACGCGAAGCACGGGCTATTCGATACACTTTCGAAGAGTAGTCGATAGCGGCTACTGATCGCAGCGGTACTTTTTTTTTGCGCACTTTTTTTACTCCATAAAGCGATGCACGAAGAAATTGTTATTAAAAAAGAGGAACTTGATATTGATGATACCAAGATAAAGCTCGAATTAGATGAAGATGCGCCTGAGTTGGAGTTACCGTGCGGTAAATATACATGTCTGATTTTGCTTTTGCAATGTGCCTTTATATGTGTACGTATGTTGGTATGCGTGCGCATGGTTGTAACTTTGCATGTGTTGCGTCTATTTTTACTACGCACTATACCGTTAGCTTTGTCTTAATTTGTGTATTTGCGTTATATTTGCTAATGTTTTACAGCGGGCAGCTTTCTAAAAATCATCGAAGAGAGGCCAAATATGATAACAGTGCCGGTGCATGACTACAAATCCGAGGACGAGCTCAAATTCATTGAGAGTCTCAGCACGCTCGATCAGCAGCAAAGGGTAGACCCTAACCTTAACACAGTAGCATATGTAAACATGTCATTAATTTTAATGGTGCGATTCTCTGTACATTACAGTTATTTGTGACGTCATCCTGCGAAAATGATGGCGCACTTGCATGCAACATTTGCACTTTCAGGTGTGAAAATCGTCTGGCACTGGCCTCGCATCAGATCAATCATCAATTAAATCGACATTTTTGTTGCCATGGCTGTGGAGCTTGGTGCAACACGCTGGAGGAAATTCTGGAACATGAATTTCGCCAGCATGCGGGAGGTATAAATAGATCAAACTGCAGGGTAAGTGTGTTATAATAAAAAAAATAGATATTAATAACGATGGCAAAAACTGGGTCAAAGTTTTTCTTTATATAAATTTAATTGACATTTTTAATGAATTGAAGTATTAAGATACATATTTGTTGTCAATATCAACAGCCAAGTCCAAGTAGAGAATTACTTTAATGATTTAAAACAAGCCCAAAGTATACCCTAACTTTTTAAACTTGTGCTAAATGAAGTGTTTAGGAAGTAAATGTATATATTTGCGATAATAAAGAGTGTTGTCGATCTTTTGCTGAAGCAACTTTTATTGACTAATTGTATAGAGGTAAATCACATTACTGAAACGTATTTTTCAAATTGTTCTTCATCTAACAATTTTTTAAACAAAGAATAAACTTTCAGAATCTGATGATCTGTTTAGTCTAACGCTTAGTGCACTGTCCCGGCACTCTGGCGATGTTGTTGCATATACATTTACAAGGACATGTATTAAGTAACAATATTACTTATGCCTCTTACAGATTTGTCTATTAGAATGTAGCGATGCCACCAGCCTGGCCAAGCACATAAGCAGTCACTTTTTTGTACGTCGCTTTGTCTGTGCGATATGTCGTAGGCACTTTGAGACGCGGCCCGGACTACAGCTGCATTGGCAGCACAGCAAGGAGCTATGCGGGCAGGTGGAATATGGAGACATGCATGGTAATGTAGGTCAGTTAGTGGCGATCAACAGGTTGGACACGAATTTCGACGTGCAAATAAAAACGGAGCCGCTGGATACAACAGAAGAGCAAGCAGATCAGGATATGAAATTGGCAGATGTTGTAATCAAGACAGAACCACAGACTGATGAAGAAAAAGAAGAGTTAAAATCCGCCCAGGAGGCAAGCTGGACAAGTGGCAACAGTCTAGCAGGACAATTGCGTGGCAAATTGCGTCTGCCAGCAATAAAAAAGCCATTTTTCGTGGAAACAGCCAGCAAAGTTGAAACTCCAGCCATACAGTGTAAGTTGAGTTTAAATCTATAATACCGCTAGTTTTCTTTTATTAATATTCCTCCTATGCAGTTGTACCGTCCAACAAGAGGAATCTCGTACAAATAGCGCCCTCTAAACCAAAGCTGTTGACCAATATTTTGAAGACAACAAACAAAAGCAACCTAAATCAACCTAAAATTCTGCAATCCGCAAAAAATAAACCGCACATAGCAGGTAACATCTTGAAGGTGTTGCCCAGCAATTGTATGCTATTCAAATTACCACCAAACACCAAGATTATTAAAATATCGCCTAACCCTGGTAGCGTAAATTCAAATAGCTGCTCCACAGGCAGCAAAATTATAACACTGCCAAGTGCCATATCGATAAGTTCGTCTTCACCGCCGAGCAATAGCCAATCGGTTACAACAGCACCCAGTGCGGCTGTACTGCAAACCGGAGCCGCGCAAAAGCCCGTGTTGAACCGGAATGCCTATTTCAATGCCCTAAGTTTGTTTGAGAGCCTGCCCGAATCTCGCAAGATCATCACCGAATTCCAAAATCAAATACGTAGCATAGAGCAAACACTTCCGCTACCCGGCAGTGTTCTGCAAACGCCAAAGAGAAACAATAAAATAGTATTGCTATCGCAGCTAAATGTGCTTCGAATGCCACCCACCAAAACAAGCCATGCTAAAGTCCGTCAATTGCGTTTTACCTACCCCGATCATCGTTTCCACTGGGAGTGTCCAAAGTGTGCGCGTTGCTACGAACAGTATTTGGCTTTCTGCAACCATTTGACGCAGGTGCACGGTATTGCGGAAGCTGAGTTTGATCAGATTGAAGTGGAAGTCAAAACGTATAAGAGTGAGTAAAATTTGTTCTGTTGCTGAAAGGTTTTTAATAATTTGTATTTTTCTAGAATCAACTGAATCTAAGACTTTGCGAGCTACAAGTTCCACAGGTACTACATCGGCTCCTGTAACGGATGGTCCAGCGACAGAGCAAAAAGTGACAGCAGCTAAGGCTGGGTGTTCTGTTGCAGCAGCAGCACCCGCACCAGGAATTGTATCTCCGCTTGCCGCTCCTTTGAACGCGGCGTCGGCCGCTCCAGCAAAAGTAACGGTGGCTTGTGCAACAAAAGCTTCTACAGCCTGTGCATCTCCACCTACCTCTGCTGCTACTGCTAAGTCAGCACGATTAGGACCCGTAGCTCGTCCCGCTCAGTATAAATGCGAAGATTGCGCCAAATGCTTTACGACAGTGGGCGCCTTGCGCATCCATAAGATGATACACACAGGCGAGCTGCCACATAAATGCAACTATTGTGAGAAACGCTTTCGAACACCCGGGCAGGTGCGCGTCCATCAACGCAGGCACACTGGCGAAAAGCCTTTCAAGTGCAAGGTAAGGGTGTATTCTATATCCAAGGAAACATCTATGCTTCAGTAACAGGCTTGTTTTTTGGAACTTTTTATCTTATATTTTTTTATAAATGTTTTGACGGAGATTTTGCTGTATTTGAACTATATCTCACGCTAATGTTCTCTTCTTGCAGGTTTGCTCGCTGGATTTCACGCATCGCGAGACGCTGATCTCCCATCTATCACGTCACATTGGTATGAAGCGCTACAAGTGCTATGGATGTGACAAGAACTTCGTGGTGGTCAGTGGTTTGCGCGCACATCGCCGGCTGCGCCCGGATACGTGCGGAAAAGTGAAGTTTACGGCTCGTGCGCACGGGCCGCGAGTGCGTGTAATTCGTGGCGAGGTCGTTTTCGAATCCCATCCCGAGCACAATGGTTACCTGCGCAGCGAGGATCCATTGAATATTATGTCCGAGATTAAACAAGCCTCTGTTGCTAACGAGAACGAGTCTAGCTAACTACGCTATTTGTATATAAATTTACCCCTATTTTCTCTGTTTGTTTTGAACGTTAACATTTTTTGAATGAATATATCAAAAAATTCATTTTTATCTACTCTTGATGAGGGTAATAAAATATTGTCACATTTCTTGAATGTGAAGCAAAGCTAATCTTCAATAAACTATTTATATAGTTGATCCACCAACTCGACATATCAGTTTCTATGTCTATATAATTATGTACGCTAATTATTAAGTTTTATTGCTTTATCAAATAAACTTGGCATATGTCGTATGTCGGCCGGATAAACAATTTGTATCAAAGCAACTGTAATTTTTTAATAAAAAAATGTAACACTGAATAACTATATCATTTAGTTAACATCAAAATAATTCAGTTCAAAATTAAGAAATTCGTTAACGTGTTATTGACAGCGACAGGAGTTATCTTTTCAATAAATGTTTTTACTGGGTCGAGTATATTAGTTTCGCCGTTATTGAAATTAAAGGATTCAAATTTGTAATATTTACTGTATTCGACTTATGTTGTTGAAATATCGATATGCCTAGGGGTGTCAAATCGATAATTATAACTTTTTATAATATTAAAGCCGATATTGAAGCTTACGACTTGGAATTTCAAATATAAAACACCCGCCTGAAATATGGTCTCATCTTTTGGCAAGGGTATTACTGTGACCCTTCTCTATTATTTGACCAGAAATTATCTATATGTGTTTTCGATCTAAAACCAAATAAGTGTTAGAAGCTAAATCCCCAAATTTTACATCCTTTCATTTCTGATCTCTTCTACAAATAGACATCACGGCATGGCAAATCCGATATCGATTTTTATTAAATTAATGTAGCTAGCGATCAGTGATCTACTATGTAGTTGGTTGCAACCGACTGAAATAAGAACTTATTGGCCTTAAATGATAAATAATTTAAAATGAAGTTGTTCTTTTTCCGTAATATGTATTTTTATTTCGTCTTTTAATATTCATGTTCATTGTTTTTCCAGTTTTCGAAAATTATATATGTATAGTATATATAGTATATATCTGATACATATAGTCGTATGATAATGTTTAACTTCATGTAATTCTTACATAAAGAATTATTTGTATAAAATACAATCGCTCGACTCTAGCTTGATTAATTTTGGGGCTTTTTCGTATGTATCATTAAAATTGTTTTATATCTGACTAATTGGTAAAATATATGTATGCATGTATATATATATATTTATATATTAAACAATTTCATATAGTATTAACAAAATTTGACAAGCCGACCAATTTATTTTTCTTGTAATATACAATATAGACTTTTGTAATTAATTTATGCAGAAATATGCTAAGTATGCTTGCAACGCTGGGGTGATAACCATTATCTATTAGACATCTATTGTTGCTAATCGTTAATGCTATAATTTTTATTTATTTTATTTCACTTTATATATTTATATATATATGTACTCCAAATATGCCCTAGTACTTTATTTTTGGGTTTTGGCATTGCGCCAACTTGTCAATTTTCTAAATTCTAGCTCCAATTCTTTAGTGGGCAACACGCTAAATTTGTTATATAACAGTTACTTATGAGAGTGTATGAGTGTACTTATATCTTTAATGCATTATGCACAATGCGTATATATATATATATATTGTATTTATTTGTAGTGTACATACGTATTACTATTGTTGTTTAACATGTGGTTAAATAGTTGTTTAATATTTAATTTATTTTTGCTTTTATGCATTCGCTTGCTAACGACTTCATATATAAATACTATCGGCCGATTAAACAGCATATCAAATATGTATTTACACTATAATTCTTAGTTCATAATGCCATTTTATGTTGATGTAGCTTTATAGTCGGTATAAATGGGTGCGATTTATATTAATATATAGACGTATTCTGCAATTATATGCAATTTATATTAAGTATTCTACAATGTATATCTACATCTTATTACTCGTCTATCTCTTTTATCGGCTGGGTGTATTATCTATTGTTGCCTTGTCCATACACGTTAGGTACCATAATTTTCTAGCTGTAGGATCCTATTTACTTATATATATCTGCAGGGTTTAGTGATGTATACAGGAATACAATTATAAAATAAATTTAAGAATGATGTGCTTATAATAATTATACATGAGTAGGAATGTCAAATGAATATTGTAATGGATTCCTAAAAACCGTTTACATAATTTAATAAAATAAAATAAAAACACTTTAATCAAGTACAAAGGACCTAGAATTCGATTATTACAATTTGAACACTGCTCGTAAGTTATATAGCATCAAGGGAATGTCACAATGTAGAAAAAACCGCCTGCTAAGTAAAGTTAATCTTTAAACTAATTTAAACTAGGCGCTTTAACAGATATGCACTACGCAAGACTTTTTACTAATTGCACGGTTTACATTTGCTTTTGTTACATATATTATTAAACCTAAGCGGACTTTTTAAGTATGTCAAGTATAAAAAACATGAAACATATTTGATTGATTGTTGTCAGACAATACAAATATATATATATATATATTTATATATATATATATATATATATATATATATATATATATATATATAATTGTAATGATAATTGGATTTTGGACTACATTGCTCTACCATCTGCTCTAGCCGACAATTAGCTTAGGTTAATTTTCTTTCTCGAGATTCGTTTAGGCGGTAAGTTTTTAAAAGCTACCAAGTCCTTAGTTCAAATATGTATAGGTTAATCAAGTGGGTGGGTTGCCCCGCCGCACCACAACAACAAGTTGATTGACTACTTTGATTAGTTCGAGCAAAAACTGTATGCACACATGATATACATATATAGGTAGGGACATATGTATTTAAGTATAAATTACTGATAATTAAACTTGTAACAGTCTTTTTGAGTTTACATTTTATACCAAAATCAAAGACCGGGAGTGATAAAAGATGCTAAAGAACTAATCAAAATAGGGACAATGAAATGGATATTAAAATGTATATAAGCGAGGGTAGTCTGAAAACTTTTCCGACTTATCAAAAACTATATTCATTTAAATACCTTTTATTTTTCTACCATTCTATCTGCTTTTATCGTCACGTTAAGATCGGAAATATTTCAGACTACGGCCGTATTATGCATAGTATATAAGTAAGTATTTTGTGGGCAGTATCTGGCTATAATACTTTAAAGTTAAGGTATCCGTTTTTATCGTAAATGCGTATTTATGCGTACAATTTAAAACAACGAACATGCAACATTTAACATGAACATAGAGTCGACAACGTTTTTGCTCTGTAGCCGGACATCAACTCCAACTTCTGTTCCTTTTCCTGCTACTGCTTCAGCTTCCGTTTAGCTTCCTCAGTTTGCATAATTGTCGAACGAGCCCAAATACTCCAAGGCTGCGCGATAGCAAAAATGATATTGGTCCTGTAAAAGCGAAATTGGTTTAAGCCAACATATTTTAAGCACTAGAATGTGGTATCTACTCACTTCCGTCTGCACCATAGCGGGTCGCTGAGAGCGTAAAATGCGCACCGTTTGGAACACATCGAGCACGCCTTCGTATTGCATTCGCTCTAGCACAATGCTGAGTGTGATGAAGACGCCCGTGCGTCCCACACCAGCTGAACAGTGAACCGTGATCGGTCCATCCTGTCCAAATTGCTCCTTTGTCTTGTGCACCTGTCCAATGAAGTCGATAAAGCCATCACCAGACTTTGGAACGCCCTGCTCCGGCCAGTCTATGAACTGGAACTGGCGAACGGTGCGTGAAGAACCATCACGAGCATCAGTTACCTTTTGAGTACGAGAAGGAGCTTGTATAGAAACACATATGATTTGTGCAGTGGCATAATTTACCTTAAACTCTCGCAGCTTGTACTGCGGCATATTGTACTCGGCGATGGGATCCACGACATAATACTGATAGCGTACGGAGCGCTCGTGAGGCCAATATTGGAAGCACTTCTCCTGCAAACGGAAGAATAGGTGAATTAGACGATGTCCAATCAATTGAAGTTTTATGTTATGTTTGGCTTATGTCCTGGGTTGATCATGCATAACTTACCCTGCCCATTTCCTTCAGCTTGGTCAACATTACAACTATGGTGGAGTTATGCTCCCAGAGCATTCGCCAAAAGTCCTCGGCCGTATCCTGTACAGGTCCCTGAGCTGCAATATAGGCCGAACGATAGCGATAGCCATCGATGAAACTAGCATTGACATAGTCGCTGCCTTCAATTCCATGGATGGGCGTCAAATACACGCGACTCGATTCGTAGGGCAGAATGTGAACCAGACGATTCTTATGCTTATTGCAGGCCAAATTAGCGGTTACAAATTTGGAAGAGTCCATCTTGACATTTGAGAGTTTTTTGAATTCCACCTCCATGCCTGAAATGCTCTCGCCTGGCTCGGTGGTGAGCAGCTTCTGCAAATGGGTATGTAAATTGCGTGCAGCTACCTCTGTCAATCCACAGATTATGGCCTCGAGGATGGCGTCGTGGATGAATATATACTGATCTTCCGTTTGCACCATATAGTTGCGCTGCGCGCGCAGGCAGGTCACATGGCCATAGATGTCGATGATCTTTTCGTGCTTCATTCGCTCCAGCATCGAGTCAATTACAATGTAGCAGCCAGTGCGACCCACACCCGCTGAGCAGTGTACTACAACCGGCCCGGACTCAGGTGGGGTCAGGGCGCGACAGCGACGCAGGAACTGCAGGAATGGAGCTGGATGATCGGGTACACCGTGATCCGGCCAAGCCGTAAACTGTAGCTGCTTGATCTCGCGCCGATCGTTAAAGCCCTGACGGCACAGTTGGAAAGTGCGTATGCTGTAGGTGGCCAGCTCTTGGGTTTCGGTGATGGTGACAAAGATCTGGCCGTAGGTCTCGGTGCCTCGGGAGGGCCAGTACTGATCGCACTTGATGCGTGTGCGTTCCTCCAGCCGGGTCATCATCACAATCGTTGCCGTCTTCAGCTCCCAACACATGCGCCAGAAATCTGCGAACGTCTCCTGCAACGGGCCCTGAGTGGCTACATAGGCATTATGCTTGCGATAGCCA